GCGGGCGGGCGCGCGCGCGTGCTCCCGTGCTCCCAGCCACCACCGCGCATCGCGCATTACCCTTCTTTCGGTTTCTTCGTGCTTATAGTGCTTCTACGCGAGCTACGCGATTCTCGTCCTCGTCGTCGGCAACAGGTGAGTCGTTTCAAACTTGTAGCTGCTCCATCGCTCTCCATTTCTCTCTTTCTCCGTTCTTTATCGTCACCTTTCTTCCTTCCATCCTTGCCTCCCTCTTTTTGCCTCGGTCTCTTTCCGCAGTTTCACTCGGGAAATCGCATTACCGTAGTATCGTTTCGCAACGTTACCGATCCATCCGCAGGATCGAAAACCCTCGGCTCCTTCGAGTCGATTAACTAGGATTAAACTCGAATCGATCGAGTGACCCGGCCAAACATCGAACAAACTCGTAATCGAGCTCCCTGCCTCCTACAGAGATAACTTTCTAACGCATCGTTTCTCGAGTTCTTCCTTTACTTCCTCTTAAAATTAAAACGAACCTTGCTCGATTTTATTCGACATTTAATTTCTGCTCGATTTTATTCTAAGAATCTGATTTTCTAATCCATGCAATAAATCACGAACGTTCTCCTATCGACTTAGAGGGTTTAGAAAGAGACTCCGATGAATTACGACGTCGAAAGTTTGATCCTTTTTTCTTGTTTCGTTCGTGGTCGTTCGAGGTCGCGTCAGTTCGAAATAATCGCGTTTCGCGCGACAAATTTGTTCGCGCGCACCTAGCACAGGTATCCGCGGCCTTACGCGCGACATCCGCGGCACGAGATAGCAAGGAAATCGATAAGGAGTTGCGTGAAGAGAAGAAAACGCGATGGAGCGTCGAAACGGTATTACGAAAGCTGAAAGAGTTCGAAGGAAATCGTGGCGTCGCGTGCTGGCTGCGCGCTGTCGAGATCCTTCGGGGTCCGAGAGATTAATCGAATGCGATGCGACAGGTGATGCGTTTGGCGAGTAGCCGATCGAAGGGAAACAAGCACGCGAGCGATTCGATCGAGCGAGCATCGAGGATCAACGAGCGACCGCCTCGTCGTTATGTTTGCCAAGTCGAAGAGCGGTTCCACGCCGAGCGTTCTCCTCTCGAATCCTCTGCAAAACTTCTATGAGATTGGCAAACAATCGGCCACGGCGGGCCCCGAGAACGCGTGGCGCGTTTACGACGCCTATGGCAAGGCGGACAGAAAGGTAAAATCATCTTTTCTTCTCGTTTTATTTTTTTTGTCATTCTTTATAGATAATTTTATGTTTTATAGATAACCTTTTATAGAACCTAGGAGTGGAACCAACGATCTTAGTTTAGTATGAGATCGTAAAGAAGACTGAAAAGCTCTTTTGTTCTTGTAAATATTGAAACAGCCTTACTTTACTAAGTGGATGCTCTTTACGACTTGTACAATGGCGGATAAGTTCGATACTTGCGAAAGAAAGTTTGATACTTATCATCTTTGAACAGTACCTCTTTATTAACACTAAAGCTATGGACATGTAATGTGTACTTTGGAATTAAAAATGAAGTTAAAAAATAGATGAACAAAGGACAGAACATAAATTAGTACACACATTTATTCTTTATCTTGATGAGATTCAATTCTGATTTTAAAGAATGTACATAGGGAAATGAGTACTTCATTTGAAATTAAAAATGAAATTAAAAAATAGATGAACAAAGGACAGAACATAAATTAGTACACACATTTATTCTTTATCTTGATGAGATTCAATTCTGATTTTAAAGAATGTACATAGAGAAATGAGTACTTCATTTGAAATTAAAAATGAAGTTAAAAAATAGATGAACAAAGGACAGAACATAAATTAGTACACACATTTATTCTTTATCTTGATGAGATTCAATTCTGATTTTAAAGAATGTACTTTAATGAAATGAGTCCCTTATAATAATAAGCTTGTGGAGTGGTCATTTGACTAGTTTGGTAGTTTTAGTGTTAATGGATATATGTAAATAATTTTAAATTATAAACTTATTTTCAACTATGCCTATATTCTTCTATAGCATCCTATAAATTGGATGAATTATGCATTGTATTTATACATTTGTATCACCGAAATTTCTGTATCGAACAATCCAAGTATGTTCTATAACAAAACCCGAATTATAAAAATGATACAAAATATGTATTATAACATATAATCTTCTATAACACAGAAGTAACAAGAAAATAATTTACATGTATCCAACATAAACACATAGGTTACAAGTTACATAGGTTCCTTAAATTTTGAAATTATAAAAATGATACAAAACATGTATTATAACACATAATCTTCTATAACACAGAAGTAACAAGAAAATAATTTACATGCATCCAACATAAGCACATAGGTTACAAGTCACATAACTTACAAGTTACATACATTACTTAAATTTCCTTTTACGTATCAATATACACCCTCCTCCATTTTCAGGAAGTGTCGATATTTTTCTTCGACAAGCGCTCGGTCGAAAAGCTCTATAAGCCGAAGCGGAAGGAGACGGTGACGGAAATTTTACGGAACGGAGCTCGTCAGATGGAACGATTTTCCCACCCCAAGATATTACAGGTAACTTCTCTGATTCTCATCTTCTTTCTCGATTACTGAATTGTACATCCACAGGCGTACAGAGTCGAAGAGTGCGCGGACAGCCTGGCTTTCGCGTCGGAACCAGTGTTGGCTAGTTTAGCGAACGTTTTGGCGTATCAGGAACAACGAGCGAATGGTATCGGACAAACATCGAGCACCGCCACGAAACAGGCATCGTCGACTGCCAGTCATCGTACCGTTTTCACGAAAGAGTACGAGCTGCTCGATATCGAGATCAAGTATGGTTTGTTACAGGTGAGAACCTTTTTAATCGAGGTGCTTCGAAGACCCTTCCGATCGAGTAAACACGCTCTATTTTCTTATCGGACTTTGCAGATCACCGAGGCGCTGCTCTTTTTGCACGTGACGCAGAAAGTTCTTCACAGAAACGTTTGTCCGGCGAGCATCGTCATCACTAAAAGAGGAACCTGGAAGTTGTCGGGTCTAGAATTTAGCGGTAGGTTTTGCATAAGGATGACTTTCCGATCCTTTTCCTACAACGTTTTTCTGTTGTACAGAAAAAGCGAACGAGACGCCCATTCCGCTGCAACCGTGGACCAATCGCATGCCAAAAATGGCTCAGCCGAACCTCGATTACGTAGGTAAGGAAACGTAATTAGGTCGATCGCTTTTTGTCATTTTCTGCTGTCATACTGTAAACCGATTATAGCTCCGGAAGTTCAGCAGAAGAAGCTCGGCGGTTTCTACAGCGACATGTACAGCTTTGGTATGACGATATGCGCCATCTTCAATCAAGGTCGACCACTGATTCAAGCGAATCACAGTTGCTCCGAATATCTGAAGCAACTGGAAAACGTAAGGCTGCAGAAACTATCTTTATGCTGTTAACCATCTTTACTTTATCATTCGAATAATGTTACGGGCTCGTTTTCAACAGCTCAATGAACAACTCGCTGCCACGTTGCCCCTGATTCCACTACCGCTTCAGGAAGCTGTTTCCCGACTGCTGCACGAAGACCCGGAAAAACGACCGACAGCTCAAGTTTTGTCGATGATCAAATACTTCCTGTACGTAACGAAAGCTTCACCTCACAAAGCTTAACACTAAAACTACCAAACCGGTCAAATGATCGCTCCACAAGTTTCTTGCTATAAAACGTACATTTTGTTAAAGTACATTCCTTGAAATCAGAATTGATTCTCATCAACACAAAGAATAAATGTGTGTACTAATTTATGTTCTGTCCTTTGTTCATCTATTTTTTAACTTCATTTTTAATTTCAAATTAAATACACATTATATGCCGGTAGGTTTAGTGTTAAACGAACCGTGGCAAGAAGTTCCATTCGAACTTGTATATTTCAGGAACCCAGCCGTGCACGCCCTCCAGTTTCTAGACATCAGCAAGATGAAGGACGTGCTGCAGAAGGAGCACTTTTACGCGAACACCCTGAAAGGAGTGTTACCCTACGTGCCAAAGGTAGCTGCAATATTTTTCGAGCCACATCAGAGACTCTATGATTCTTTCGACTTTGCAGAAACTTTGGTATCAACATGTATGGACGTATTTGCAAACCGAATTGGAAAGCCAGGAAGTTCAGTCGGCCGCGTTGCAACCCGTACTTTACATCGTTCAAAACAGCACGCAAGAGGAATACGATCGAATCGTGTTTCCGTCGCTGCGGTGAGTAGGCGCGCGTATAATTCACCTCCCACAACTGGCAAGATGATAAAAAGGCGATTGGTTGAAGTGGAAAGCCTTACACATTTTTGTCACGAGCGCGCAATCAATTCTAACTGCAACGTGCTTCGGGCAGATTGGAAAGACTACTCTGAGTTTTTATTCATCCTGTGACGGGTGCACAATGACTCGATATACACGAGCGACCTCGTTTCGATCAAATGTGTGCTTAGGTTCTTTTCACTGAGGAAACAAAGAAAAATGATCGGGACGAGATCGCACATGTTCTTTAGGGGGGAAATGTTCGTGTGCATCGAGTCTAAGGGTTGTTCTAACAGCATCAGATTAACATTGACATATTAATGAGAGCATCGATGTTGTGTTATGTCCAAAAATTAAGATTACAAGAATGTATTAAGGTTAATCAAACGCTGTTAAATATGCAACATTCTTGAAGCATAATTCATAGTAAACGATGATCGCAGGCAGCTGTTTTCGAACCGCAAGTCCGTTCAAGGAACGGTGACCCTCTTGGAAAATCTGCATCTGATACTGAAGAAGACGTCTCGGGAGCACGTGGAGACCGAGGTGCTCCCAATGTTATACGCCTCCTTTGAAAACTCGGTGATGCAGGTGCAGGTAGGTGATGTCTTTCTCATGTTAACGAAACTATCATTAACTATAATTAACCCATCCGTAGACCGCCGCTTTCGTGGCCGTATCAAACGTAACCGAGTACATAGACGACGAGGCAATCCGGAATATCGTACTGCCGAAACTGCTGCAAGCGTTCGAGAAGAATACGGTGGATCCCCGGATACTGGTAAACGTAATTTCGTGTATCTTGAACCGGCTGGACAAGCAGAAGATCGTCGACTGCATTCTACCGCTGCTGTGCAACGTGGAGCTCCATGAGCCGGAGATGATCGTTCGGGTCGTGAGTAAGTACATCGTTAACTGTTTTTCCGTACTGTTCGAATAGTCGCTTACTTTTTTTACTAATCGATCGATACCGGGTACGGGGTTACGATTCGACTCCTCTAGGAATTTACAGATTAATGCTGACCGACAAGAAGTATGGGCTTACGGTGAATTGGATGGCGACTGGAGCCATGCCTTCTCTGCTGCCTCAGACAATCAATCCCGCGTTGGACCTCGAACAGTTTGAACTGCTCTTCAAGGTGTTGCAGGACATGCTGAATCACATCGAAAGGTGAAGTTCGTGGTCTTAACGGTTCACGTTAGATATCTTATTTTTCTTCTATGTTTGATTTTTGGAACAGATACCAGAGGAATCAGTTGACCCTGGACAATCTGTCACTGTCGAGTCCGGAGAGGTATCGGAGTTTACGACACCAGCACAGCACGGACAACATGCATGTTCCTCCATTCAACATACCGAACTTGCGGATCGAACAGCGTAAGACTTCATCGGCTGAGGATATGGCCAGGAAAAATAGCACTAGTAAGATTTACTGTTTTGCAGTAAGTTGCAAGGCATTGGAACGCGTCTTTTAATTGTTTAATCGTTTCGTAGCTTCGATATCGATGACGGCTTCGGCCGAGAACATGGCGAGGAAAAACTCGTTGGCGGGTAAGTTTCGTTATAAAATAATTTTCGACAGAGTAACAAAGGTTACTCAAGAAAAGGAGACGATACGTGTTTATTGTCGACAGCCATGTTCGGTTGGTTCTCGTCCTCGAACAACGACAATTTCCTAAAAGTGACGCCGTTCACCAGCAGACGGCTATCGGACAACACTCTGATGGCGCCGAAGATACGGATAGCGCCGTCCTGCGCGAGTTCTCCGGGCGACACTCGCATGGGCGGACTTCTGATTCGTCGTCATTCGACCACCGGTCCTCAGGACCGACGCGGATCTGGCATAAATCTATCGCCTCCCACGGTATCGTATTTCTCAAAATAATTCATCGAAGCAAATTTATAATTTTGTAATGCGTATACAATTTTGTAAAATTTATGATATACATCTTAAAACAGTGCAAGTACTCATAGTAACAATAATTGAAGTATTAACCCCTTGCACTATGATGTTTTTGTCAAGTCAATCAGAGCTAATTTCAGCCATAACATGAAAACAGACACAGAAACTTAAAATGTTATGTGAATTTGGTATCGTGCAGTCGTTGACTATGCAAATTATAGTTGAACTTGAACTCCAAATTGAAATGTATTCAAAACTCGAGTAAAATCATAGCCGAGTGCGTCAGACTCGTCAAAATAGTGTAAGGGGTTAAGTATCTCGTTAAAAAACGACAAAATTGTTGATTATGAACTATTGTTCATCGCATAACTGGCTCGAAGGAGTCAGCTAACCAGGTGGCGCGTTAGAAAGAAGTAAAGACGATGACGTTATCGTTTTGACGTTCGATAGGGCGCAGGAATGCCGATCACGAGCAGCAGCGTGCCATACTTGTTTAGCTCGAGTATGAATAGTTTACGCGGCTCGAGGCGCCCATCCGTTTCCTCGACGTCTTCCCAGCAGGGCACCGGGTTACTGCAGCAGGTTGGCTCTAGCATGGTAAGACAACAACCCCCCATCTGCCTGAACCTGAATGGACCACCACCACCATTACAACCACCAACACTCTCTCCATTACTCCAGCTACCGGGACAGCCTTCCCACTGACCCTTCGTTACAGCGTAAGGATACACTTATTAGCTTATCCAACGTCGCTCCGTTTCTTTTTTCCGGAAATTTCGGAATTATCGAACTTTCGGAAGCGCAACAGTCGATCGTGACATTCTCTTCTCGATGAACGTTGTCGCGCGATCAAATTACGGTGATCGTTGAACCACGCGTCGCGCGACTCGTTACGGGTTCAATTCGTTGAGCGAAGACGTTGTTTCCTTCCGCGAAGAGGAAAGAGGAAAAGCAAATAGAAGTACGATTTCCCATCCTGTCTTTATTCCAACTCTCGCTTGTCTATGTATATGTTTATCGTTCGGTGTTCGTTCCCTCGATCGATGTTACAGGTACACGGCTATTTACGTTTTGTTATTTCTGTCGCGTGCACGAAATCGATCGAGTCGTGATCGACTCGATCGTGATCCCGATCGTGACCATTCATCTCCTCTCTTTTTCTCTGTTACAGTGCCAATTCTTCGGCAAGTAGTTCGAAGCTCCAGCCGTGATCGCTCGACGAGGAAACGCCGCGGATTAAAAGGCAGCTCCGCGTGATCCTAACGAGCTACTGGTTACCGTCCGTACGATCAAAATCGACAAACGAGAATAATTTTTTAGCAAACCTTGGCGAAGAAAAATCGAAAACGAAGGCGACGGTTATTTTCGTCGATTATCACCGACGCTCTACCATGTACCTTGTGCGTACGCGCACGCACAAACACTCACATATATATATATATATTATTATATATTTACACAGATATATGGAAATACCTTTAATCGTTAAGATTTGCCGCGAAAGGGTCTTTCCAAGCGGCCTAATCCTGACGTCGTGATCGATCGTCGTGTTCTCGTATCGTTTTAAACGCGATAGATCGGTGATCGCGCGTGTACGGTTTACGAAAGAGGTAAAGGTTATCGGTCAATCGTGCGAATGTATCGGTACACTCGAGAGCAAAGAAAGCTTCCTTTGAACCAGGAGTGTCAAACTTTCACTTACTTTCATTTTCAATATTATAACTTGCAATTTACTCACAGTTGTCAATTTACTCACAGTTGTCAATTTATAAAATCCTTAAGAATATAGAAGCAAGAGCTGTGCTTTCTTGAAACTGTAAAGTTTACCTAGGAAAGGTAAATTTGTTCTCGACTGTACCTCGATTAAGGAATTTCGTATCCTGCAGCCGAATGGACCGTACACGCGCGCGCGTTTCGAAAGTAACGCTATACGTTCGCATTTCGTGTATTGGTGTTGTCCAATCCGCGTACTCGCAAGTATCCTTGGTCTGGTTTAAGCGAGAACGGAACGTGTCCTCGTTTTTCCTTGTATCTCAAACGAGAAGAACTCGTATCGCCGCGACGAGAAATTCACGGTTCCACGATTCAACGTCAATTGTATGCGAGTCAAGTTTTTCCGATAGTTTTTGTAAACCACGAAACGAAGACGTTCGTCTTTCCGCTAATGAACGATCATTCGATTCGTATTCTTCATTCGAAGAACGATAGAGAATTTTCGTCGGAACGAACGTCGCTGTTTCGTCTTCTCGTTGTTCCATGGTAAAGCCGCGATCCAGGTGGATAAAACGGAGCCGGAGGTCGCGGTAGGTACGCGTACGGTGTGGAATAATACGCGAGTTGGAATCGGCGGAAAAACCTCCGGCGCGAAACCGCCGCGGCCGATTCTCCTCTCCATACGGTCGAGCGTATACATATCAAATCCGCGGACCGTTGCGCGCGACCGCGATAATTAAACGCGATTCGACCGGTTAGGCGAACCTCGATACAGTTCGAGACCCTCTCGAACTTTAGTCGAGCAGGGAAGTGCCCTAATGGCCTAAATATGGGCTTAAAGTCATGTTACGAGTTTCGTTTTAATGCTACATACAGTCTCACAACTTGTATTACATACTTTGTAACTCAATCTGTGCCGACATGCAATGTTCAAGTGCAGTGAGACGCACAGTAGCAATTAACCTTTTGCATTCCAAAGTAATTTCACTATTTGCAAACAGCGACTTTAACCCTTTGCATTTAAAGTTAATTTGCAAACAGTGACTTTAACCCCTTGCACTTGAAGTTAATTTGCAAACAGCGACTTTAACCCTTTGCACTTGAAGTTAATTTGCAAACAGCGACTTTAACCCTTTGCACTCAAAGTTAATTTGCAAACAGCAATTTTAAAACTCAGTTAAAAAGTTAAATGAATTCTCTTGAGGTTAATCATTCTTTACTAATAGTTTCTAGTATTGTTTGTTTCACTATGTTTATACATTACGTGTCATATTATAGAATCAGTTAAAATATGCTTATTTCAAATTATTGTATTAAATACAACGGTGACTGAGAGTCATCTGTGGAGCGCAAAGGGTTAATACTTACTAACATGAAAATTAAATGTATTCTGTTCAGGTTATTATTTTTAATAATTTCCACTATTGTTTGCTTTACTATGTTTTTACATCACACTGTCATATTATAGAATCAGTTAAAACATACTTATTTTAAGTTATTGTATTAAATACAATGGTGAATGAGAGTCACCTGTGGAGCGCAAAGGGTTAATACTTACTAACATGAAAATTAAATGAATTCTGTTCAGGTTATTATTTTTAATAATTTCCACTATTGTTTGCTTTACTATGTTTTTACATCACACTGTCATATTATAGAATCAGTTAAAACATACTTATTTTAAGTTATTGTATTAAATACAATGGTGACTGAGAGTCACCTGTGGAGCGCAAAGGGTTAATACTTACTAACATGAAAATTAAATGAATTCTGTTCAGGTTATTATTTCTAATAATTTCCACTATTGTTTGCTTTACTATGTTTTTACATCACACTGTCATATTATAGAATCAGTTAAAATATGCTTATTTCAAATTATTGTATTAAATACAACGGTGACTGAGAGTCATCTGTGGAGCGCAAAGGGTTAATACTTACTAACATGAAAATTAAATGAATTCTGTTCAGGTTATTATTTTTAATAATTTCCACTATTGTTTGCTTTACTATGTTTTTACATCACACTGTCATATTATAAAATCAGTTAAAACATACTTAATTTAAATTATTGTATTAAATGCAATGGTGAATGAGAGGCACCTGTGGAGTGCAAAGGGTTAATAGTATCAAACTAATAATTTGAACAAAATTAAACTTTTCAACTACAAAGTTGTCTGTCAAAAATGCTGTCAACTGTAAAGTGCTAAGTGATGCATACTATTTATGATACAACTGTAATTTTGTTCAACTAACAACATAGAATAAGATCGGTTGTTCGACGAAAATTTAAGAAAATATTGAAGCGTCGCGCCTTAAAAGTAACTAAGCGATCCGTGAAAAGCGGCAGGCCATATTTAGAGCACTTCCGTATCGAGGCGCGACCGGAAGTCGTAGCACGGTCGGGAGAATATGAACGCGCGTTTAAAGTGCTATAACAGTAGGTAAATTATATGTAGTTGGAAAGAACGGGCGACGGGCGACGATCGACCGTCGTGCCGGACACGTCGCGGTCGTCGCGCGACACTAGGAAACAAAGTGTCCTTAAGGTCGTAAGCCCGGAATCCTCTTTCCGTTCTCTGTGATCGCGATCGGCGACAAATCGCGCGTAACCGAATCTCGGACAATCATGGACAATCGTGGACAATCATCGCACGAGGTGTGTAAGCGTACGAACCTTCGTTAACGATTCTATACTGGGTCGGAAGAATACGTTGGTTCGTACGCGGAGGAGTTCGCGCGCTCGTGCTCTCGAGTATCGTGGCCGTCGCGAAACGACAATCATTTCGTCGAAGCGTAGATGCCTACTTCGCGCTTCGAGCGAACAATAAATCTTTTGACGCGTACCTGCTAATCGATAGAAACGGTCTAGCTAGACAACGGTGTACCTCTGCGAATCTAGCCAGACAAAAGCAAATTTTACGCGCTCGTTATATATTCTTCTTATTTTAGTTTGTTCAATGTAAATCTTCTTTTATTCATTTCGAGGCTTTCTTCTTTGTTCGTTGAATGTAAAACTATCTTGTTCCAATCATTTCTTTTGGTTCATCTTCGTTGAATGTAAAACTATATTGTTCCATTCATTTTGTGTAGCTTTTGGTTCTTTCTTCGTTGAAGGGATCTTACTGGTCCTTGTTTGTCGAAGTTAGTGAATCTCTCTTATCTTTCACTACTTTGTATTACGACACTGTATATTACTCTGTACTTCTTCAACTTTTGTTAAACTTAGATGTTACATATAGGATGTTAATTCCTTCTCTGTATTTCTTTAAGTTTTGTTAAACGTAGATGTTACATGTAAGAAATTAATTTCTTCTCTATACTTCTTCAACTTTTATTAAGCTAAGATGTTACATATAAGATATTAATTTCTTCTCTGTACTTCTTTAGCTTTTGTTAAACTTAAACGTTACATGTAAGAAATTAATTTCTTCTCTGTACTTCTTCAACTTTTGTTATGCTAAGATGTTACATATAAGATGTTAATTTATTCTCTGTACTTCTTTAACTTTTGTTAAACTTAAACGTTACATGTAAGAAATTAATTTCTTCTCTGTATTTCTTCAACTTTTGTTAAACTAAGATGTTACATGTAAGAAGTTACTTTCTTCTGTGTACTTCTTTAACTTTTGTTAAACCTAAACGTTACATGTAAGAAATTAATTTCTTCTCTGTACTTCTTTAACTTTATTTAAACTGTAAGATGTTACATGTAAGAAGTTACTTTCTTCTCTGTACTTCTTTAACTTTTGTTGAACTTAAATGTTACATGTAAGAAATTAATTTCTTCTCTATACTTCTTCAACTTTTATTAAGCTAAGATGTTACATATAAGATATTAATTTCTTCTCTGTACTTCTTTAGCTTTTGTTAAACTTAAACGTTACATGTAAGAAATTAATTTCTTCAACTTTTGTTAAACTAAGATGTTACATATAAGATGTTACTTTCTTCTCTGTATGTCTTTAACTTCTGTTAAACCTAAACATTACATGTAAGAAATTAATTTCTTCTCTGTATTTCTACAACTTTATTTAAACTGTAAGATGTTACATGTAAGAAGTTTTCTTCCCTGTATTTCTTTAAATTTTGTTAAAAGTAGATGTTACATGTAATTTGTTCGAACGATGGCGTTCTATTCGTTCGAACGAAACTTAGGCTATTCGTTCGGAAGAAAGATGTCCATTTTAGCCATCGTTCTAATATTACGATCGCGATGTTTTGTCTCGCTGGACGCCGTTACCTCGACGACGTTATTCCGTGTATACGCGCACGTAAAAGGATCATCGATAGATTTTCCGTAGCGAGAAGCACGCGTTCAACGGAATAACGAACGATTACTCTCTTCGTTGTATGTGTTTCGCGTTTAAGCGTAAGCGATCTACGACCGACCTTTTTTTCCCTCGATTAATAATTAGACCGTTGTTCGATCGTCTCGGTGTAACTGTATACAAATTCGTGTATTATTCCTTTCGGAGGATGTGCAATAATAAAGAACCGACGTACGTCGAGTTTCTGACTTCTTTCATGTTCCTGATACTTGCTATTATTCTTTTGCTACTATTCTTTAAGTTTGTTATATTTATTAGTGTTATATTTAGGGATGTTATATTTAATATTGCTATATTTAGTGATATATTTAGTAACAGTATTTTATATTTAATATTGTTATATTTAGTGACATGTTTAGTAACAATATTATATATTTAATATTGTTATATTCAGGAGCGTCATATTTAGTATCGTCATACATTAATTTTGTAATAAATTCTTTCCTTAAATTCAACTCTGCATTCGAAAGATGACGCTAAACATAGCGAGACAATAGTGACAGATAAAACTATAGATAAGTTCAAACAAATTCACCAAACTTTTCAATTAGAAAATTTGACAACCGACAAAAATATTTTCGAGTACAAAGAGCTCATACATATTTTTCTGCATTAGAAAATTTGATAAGTAACAGTACTTTTAATTAAGTTCCAAAAGCGCAGTAATAAATTAAATGTTACAGAGACATGATACGACCGAACGAATTTATGTTACAATTAAATTTTATACTTCAAACTTATATTTTGGAATTTTGAAAATTTAGGACCTTTAGACAAGATACATTTTTGTAGTCATGTAATCTATGCATCAAAGTTAATTAACTTGTTAAGGGGTTAAAAAGAAAAAATTCTTTATACACCTTCGAACGAAACAACTTCACTATTAAATCAGAGATACAGTTTTCTGATAAAGTTACCAATTATCTATGTTTTAAAACAAAATCAGAAAGTATATGATTACAGTCGTAATTACACACGTCCTCGCCTCAGCGGGAACTCAGGAATAGTAGGGAGGAGCCGAAAGGGTAGCACGTCAATCCCGAGGGAGCTCGTGCATTCGCGAAGCGTCGCGCAACGAAGAAGGTCGAACACGGACGAGTTTTAGCGTCCATAAGTCTCGGGAAACGAGATTGGTGGTTAGTCAAATCGATCGAACGTATAAAGAGACGATCGTTGGAGATGAACGAGTGCAGGCTCTGCCTTCGCGTCCAAGCGCGTTTGACGTCGATATTTAGCAAGGGTGAAGCTTCCGAACGCTTGCGTTCTCGTATTCTGGACTGTTGTCCCGTCACGGTGAGTCTCTTTAGAGAATCTTTACATTTGATTATGTTTACTGGTATTGTTATGATTTACTGTTAGTATTGTGATTTATTGTTAGTATTATAATTTACTGTTAGTATTGTAATTTGCTGTTAGTATTTTAATTTGCTGTTACTGTTATAATTTACTGTTACTATTATAATTTACTGTTAGTATTATAATTTACTCTTGCTATTATAATTTACTCTTGCTGTTATAATGTACTCTTGCTATTACAATTTACTCTTACTGTTATAATTTACTCTTGCTATTATAATTTACTCTTGCTATTATAATTTACTCTTGCTATTATAATTTACTCTTGCTATTATAATTTACTCTTACTATTACAATTTACTCTTGCTATTACAATTTACTCTTGCTGTTATAATGTACTCTTGCTATTATAATTTACTCTTGCTATTATAATTTACTCTTACTATCATAATTTACTCCATCAGCTGTTCGAGGATGACAGGCTACCGAAAGCGGTTTGCGAGCAGTGCAGAAAGAAGCTGACGATCGCCTACGAGTTCCGTGAGCGGTGCAGAAGATCGGAACTCGCTCTGCGATCGCGTTATGAATCTCCTTACTGGAGGAAATCGAATGGATTGGATAGAGTTTTACTTCAAGTAAGTTTTGCGTTCTTATCTCCTACAAAACAATTAATAGTCCTCTTCTGTATGTAGGATCGAGCTGTACAGACTGACATCGAAATACGACCTAAGGAAAATAATAGAAATGAAATAGAATATAAGGAGAAGGAAGTAGAACCGAAGGAGATCGAAATAGAATCAAAGAATCACGAAACGAGTTTTCAGCAAGAGGGTCGAACTTTGGCAACAGCCAAAGAGGGAGAATCCGAGCCATCAAGGGTTGAAACCTGGAGGTTCGAAGACCACTTGATCGACGAAACCGAAATAAGCAACCCTACAAACCTACCCTTAAAACAACAAACTATCAACACACAAAATAACACCCAAAATAAAAAAGATCAAAGTGTACCCGAAAGCGTCGAAGCCACAGAGAAACGTTACCTCTGCGACGTCTGCAGTAAAACATTCGTCTCAAAGTCCGGCCTGCGATTTCATCTAAAATCACACAATGGCGCAAAGCCGTACCAGTGCGGACACTGCGGCAAAGGATTCGCGATACCTAGTTACGCGAAAAGGCACGAGAGAATCCACGCAGGAGAGAAAAGGTTCGTGTGTCACGTCTGCAGTGCGACGTTCGCGTCCTCGAACGGCCTCAAGTATCATTTGAGGTCGCACACAGGTGAAGCGAACTATCGCTGCGACATTTGTGGGAAATCTTTCTATCGACGGAAATATCTGATCGAGCATGGGTATACGCATACGGGGGAGAAACCGTTTGTGTGCAAGACGTGTGGGTCTTGTTATGGAAACTCTGGGAGTTTGTTCGTTCATGAGAAGCGATGTAGGGTACGGGGGACGGAGGGTGAAGTGCAGCGACGACGGTGACCCGCGTAAGGAGTTCGTTAATGTATGAGACATTGTGATATGTAGATATATATATAGGTATATGACATATGATACATAAATATACATGTATAGACATATGACATATGATATATAGACATACATAGACATATGACATATGACATATAACATATGATACATAGCATACATGGACATATGACATATGACATATGATACATAGCATACATGATCACATGACAAATGACATATGATACATAGAGATACATAGACATATGACATATGACATATGACATATGATACATAGCATACATGGACATATGACATATAACATATGATATATAGACATACATAGACATATGACATATGACATATAACATAATGACATTATGATACATAGCATACATGGACATATGACATATGACATATGATACATAGCATACATGATCACATGACATATGATACATAGAGATACATAGACATATGACATATGATACATAGCATACATGGACATATGACATATGACATATGATACACAAACATATATAGACATATAACATATGACACATAGAGATACATAGACATATGACATATGACATATGATACATAGCATACATGGACATATGACAAATGACATATGATACACAGCATATATAGACATATGACATATTGCGAGAAGGATTAGAAAAGGTGATCAAACACTGAGAACAGAGTTAACTCTTTATTTAACTGCGATGTTCGTCGCAACATTGTACAAGTACATATGAGTGAAACGTTCTTAGATAGAATTTGAGGCGAACCTATCGATGTGATATTGTTATCTTGTAATAAAATTGTTATATGATTTTGGAAGTCGAGGACCGTTCTTGATGGAAGAAGTAAGACGTATAACGTAGTTATCATATACAGATTTACAGGAATCTGTATACATATACATATACATAGTGTGAATCTACAAGAATAAAGTAGAATATTTTTTCACGTGCGACTTCATTTAAAAGAACATTGAATTTGGATATTGTGTGTGTGGATAGATAAGATGATTTTTTAAAATGATGTACATACTCTAATATAGATGAAGAGAATAGCTAAACAAAATCAGTTATATTTTCAAATATATCTCTGTTCTTCTTTGAATATATACATTCAATGATATAAAGAGTTCAGTAATTAAGTTGCAACTTAAAACTGTACACTCCATATCATATTTCTTTATACAAGATAGACTCGGCCAATACATCTGAAGACTACATATGTAAAATTTTACAGTATACATATTTCTGTGACTGTCTAAAAAACCAGAAGAATCCGGCCAATACAATAATACATCTCAAACCATCTCATCTTAATATACCTCAAACCATCTCATCTTAATATACCTCAAATCATCTCATCTTAACATATCTCAAGATCATCAAAATCCTGACTCCCTTAAAAATATATTTAAATCCACAAAATCACACATCGATAGATTGACCAAATTTAACTCCGAAACGAGGTAGTCGGGCCCTGGTTATAAAAAGAAGTACGATCGAGTGACCGAAGTCTTCACAAACAACGAAGCTCGTTCGACTCGTTAACTAACGCGTTAACGAAGCGAACGTTGATCAAGATCGATCGTGGTCGGAGTTGGACGGCATCGCTGAAAAGTCTTTGGCATCGAGAGGGAGGTTCGGTATCGGCATCGTTACCGCGCTCGACAGTCAGGGTCGCGACGGATCGACATTTCCACAGAGGCGACCGACATCCACCGATCGCTGTCGGAGCGGAACCACGTCAGACCCAACGAATATTTGCCGTTCAGATTGGCGTGCTGGCACCGACTGAACCACCACCCGCCATGGTAGTTTCTGGCGCAGTGGGTCGCGCTGGCGTCCATGTCGAGGTCCTTGGCGCTGAAAGGCATGCCGTTCTGATAAGACAGCGCGTCGCTCGCGTTTCCACGATAGCCGTAAATCCTTAATTTGTAGCCGGTTTCCTTAGATTCAACTGCGAAGCGTTCGTACTCGGCCCGCCACCGTTCTCCGTAGATGTCTAACAAGTCCACTCGCAAGCTGCTGCAGTTATCCCGCGTGAGGCGGTGAAGCATCTCGTTGCCGATCCAGTACTCGCTGACCGGCGACCCGAAGCCTACAGAGTAGTCGTTCCAACTGCGATCGAAGTCCAAACTCCCATCAATCCTTCGAGCAACGACGATCCACCCTTTGCGACAGAACGCCAGCATCGGCTTCGAACGTTGCTTGCCCGTCGTTCTTAACAGCCTCGGACCGTCCTCGCTCTTCCCCTGATCGCAGTTCGCCGGAAGATCGTCACCTATCAAGTGATACTTGTCGTCCAGTCGCTCCGCCTCGTCGAATGAGACAGACACCTCTGAAACACTCGATCGGTTCAAGCGATCGATCGCCTCTCGCTGCTCGTCGCTTCTTTCCTGCAGCTTCGACGCGCTCACGCTCAAAGCTTGCACCGTGCGACGCAGATTACCGAGCTCCTCCCTAGTCAACGACAGCTCCGCCGCTTTTCTCGCGGCGTTCGCATCCAGACGCGCTATCTCCCTCTTCGTCGACGAGTCCTTAGCCTCGACGGCTTCCTCCAGGCTTCTTAGCCACTCGATCAGCCGCGATCCTAGTGATTCACCGAGCATCTTCGTCGACGTCGCGTTCTCGCTAGCGTTCGAAACCTGTCGCGACAATTCTACTTGGACTTTCTCTAAACCGTCCACGCGATCGTTCAACGTGGACCATCGCTCGGTCTCGTACGCTACGCGCTTCTCCAACGCGATTCGTCTCCGCGCCGCCGACGAGACTTTGCGTTCTAGACTCTTCAGACGGTCGACGACTCTCGTTCGATGTCTCTTCGCGAATCCGCTTTGTATTTCGTAATCTGCTCGCCGATCGACTCGATTCGTTGCCTCCTCTTCTGTCAGCTCCCTTCCGCCCTTTTTCTCTTCTTTGTCTCTGCGGATTCCAGAATTCCTGTCCGACGATTCGCACCGCAGGGATTTTACTTCGATCTGCACCGTACTCAGCTGAAATTTGCATTTGCGAATTAGTGTGATTGTAAAGAAGAAGGTGAAGAGACGGTAAACGGTAGAGGTCGACTCGAAGAAACAATTGTACTCGAATTAGAGTGATGCCCACTTGGACCGATTGGACGGTCCCGATTCGAAGCGATGCCGATTGGACGCGTTCCAATTCAAAGCAGAGACTATCTAACCTTATCTAACCTAACCTAACCGCTTCGAATTGGAACGCGGCGAATCGGGACGCGTCCAAGTGGGACATCCCCCTCAAATTAGTACGATTGCAAAGAAGAAGGTAAAGAGACAGTAAACTGTAGAAGTGGATCGACTCGAAGAAACAATCGTACTCGAATTAGTACGATTGCGAAGAAGAAGGTAAAGGGACGGTAAACGATCGAAGAAAGAAAAGCGTGGAATACGGGCGCGGCGGCCGAGCGAAACGAGGGTCGTTGGACAGCTGCGAGGCGGAGGTACGCGCGAGGCATAAGGTCGCGAGCAGGTGTTCCCTAGCCGCGTCGGTTGGCCGCGTTTTGGCCTAACCCACGACTTATCGTGGCTGACTTCCTACTACCACTCCCGCAGCTGTCTTGGAACGCTGCACACTCCACGGCAAATCTGGCATCCCTTGGGCCGAAGTTGAGAAACTTGAGAACTTATGAATCCTTGGAATTTAAGAATTTGGGCAACTGAAAATTCCAGTTACTCGGAATTAGAGAATTACAGAATTGATTTGTACAATTGACATTATCAAAAATTTATAAATTTTGAAACTTCTTTTTGTACTTTAACGAGTCTCACTCGTGATGAACTTATAGCACAAATTGTGACAAACCATACTCAAACTTTGAACATTCTTCAAGTTGAAATTTAAGTCCAACTGTAAGTTGCATTATCAAGGATCCCTGAATATGAAATACAACATTTTAATTTTCTTTGTTCGTTTTAATGTTGTAGCAATTTATAGTTAAATAAATCAGAAGGGGTTAATTTGAGAATTTAACCCTTTGCACTATGGCTTATTTGTCAAATGCGTCAGTCAGAAATAATTACAGCTACAATATTAATACAGACAAAAAAATTAAAAATGTTATGTCAATGTAATTATACAATGGTTGACTATGCAAATTATAATTGGACTTGAACTCCAACTGAACTGAACTGAAATTGAAGCGTATTAAAAATTTGAGTAAAATTGATCACAACCGAGGTACGAGTGCGTCAAAATAGAGCAAGGTGTTAACAATTTTGGTGTGTGGAAATTCAGAAATTAAGAAAATTGCGGTTTTAAGAATTTCGCATAGAAAATTTATAAATTAGAGACTTAATATCTTCAACGCAGAATGTTTCTGATGAACGCGAGAGAAGGAGAGAGAGAAGAACGCGGAATCGTGGCAGATGCGCGATCGATCGGGCACGAGCAGCAGGTGAACGAAAGAAGCGAATGGCGGCGTAAAAAGAGAGAAAAAAATGCGGATTAAGGGGGAAAGCGAGGTTCGGGGATCGAAAGGAGAAACGAGCGATCGTGAGACGTTACCTGACTGGCGATATCGGCGCAGCTGCGAGAAAGCAGGCCGATGCGTTCCTTGACCGCCGCGATGTCCACTCGAATGGTCCCCAGAACCGCTTCGATCTTCGCGATTCTACCGCCGAGATTTCGGATTCCTCTGCCGACTGCTCCAACGTCACCCCTCACCAGTGCCAGCTCTCCTCTCAGTCTGGATCTCTCCGCCAGTTCTTCGCTCGCGTTCCTTGCACGGAGAACCTCCGCCACTTCGCCCTGAAGCTCCGTCACCGCGTTTCCTAGCCATCGTACTCGTAGTCTTTCGTTCTTCGCTTCGTTTCCGTTACCACCACCTCGTAGGGCGATCACTTCTTTTCTAATCAACAAATATTCGAATTAAAAACGTAAACGTAAAGTTGGAAGTTTGGTATAGTTGATGTTTGATGGTTTTTTGAATGCTTCACTTTTTTGGAAAATTAAAAAATGTGAACTTAAACTTTGAGAGCCAATGTAGATATTCGTCTACTTTTCTAGATTGAGTTCATACTTTTTTTAAAAAAAGACAACAGTCACCGAATTAATAAAAATTGTGAACTTGAACATAGAGAGTCGACATAGTACACATTCATTTACTTTCCCAGCTTGTGTTCACAATTTTTGAAAACAGACAACAGTCACTGAATTAATAAAAATTATAAACTTAAACTTAGAGAGTCGATATAGTTTACATTCATCTACTTTCCCAGCTTGTGTTCACAATTTTTTAAAACAAACAACAGTCACTGAATTAATAAAAATTATAAACTTAAACATAGAGAGTCAATATAGTACACATTCATCTACTTTCCTAGCTAGTGTTCATATTTTTTTAAAACAGACAACAGTCACTGAATTAATAAAAATTATAAACTTAAACTTAGAGAGTCGACATAGTGCACATACATCTACTTTCCCAGCTAGTGTTCATATTTTTTGAAAACAGACAACAGTCACTGAATTAATAAAAATTGCAAACTTAAACTGAAAAAGAGTCGACATAGTCCACATTCATCTACTTTTCCAGCTAGTATTCATATTTTTTGAAAACAGACAACAGTCACTGAATTAATAAAAATTGCAAACTTAAACTGAAAAAGAGTCGACATAGTCTACATTCATCTACTTTCTCAGCTAGTGTTCACATTTTTTAAAAACAGTCCTCAAATGAATCAAAAATGTAAACTTAAACTTAGAGAGTCTATACAGTCAACATCTACTTCCCCATCCTGTGTTTACACTTCTTGAAAACAGACAAGTTTAATAAAAAAATGTAAACTTAGAAGGTCGATATAGTCAACATTCTTATCTCCACATAAAATCAAGTTAATCAGAAACGAAAAATATGGTCAACGTCCATCCTCTATAGCTTTCATTACAATTACCTGAGTTGCTTCACCTCGTCCTTGAGGACGAACAACTCTGTATTCTTTTCGATCGCGCGTTTCAGACTGCTCTCCAATTTATCGTAATCCTGTTGACGATGATCGAGCAGAGCGTTCACTTGTTCTCTTAGCGATCTTATCGCGTCGAAGGCGTCGAACGCGACGTCTTCTCCGCGAGTTTCTTTTTGCACAACACTGAGCACGACGATGAACCACCAGGACCACGCTTCGCGCCTCATCTTGTCCACGCGGATTGCTCCACGATTTTTCTATCGATGAACCTTGCACAATTTCGAATTTCAACGTAACGCGCGCGAGGTTCGAACATCGAGAGCTTACTGGCCCAAGCGGCAGCTGCCCTACCAGTTTTATATCGTCCTTTCCATAAAAGGTTGGGGGTAAACGGCCCAGGGAGCAGGTGTTCGGCAACAGTCGGTCAACTCCACGCGAGCGTGTATTGTCTCGTGCCTGCAAGCTGCGCCCTCGATGCATCCTTATACCAGCGGCCCTTTATCCCCACTTTTCTCCCCTCTCCCTTTCGCCCTCTTATCTATTACGGTACTTAACTACCATTATTGCTTGGTCCCTCGCTTTTCTTCCGCGTCCGTTTCTCGAATTTTTTTCCATCAAACTTCTTGAGGACAAGAATGAAGTTCGATGGAAACACCGGTGGGACGAACGGATAGAAATGGGTGGGAAAATGACGAAAGAAGTCATGCGAGGTCAATAATTTATTTAAACAACTTGTACCCTGAAACAGGGTTCTAAGTTCCTACGCTTCTACCGAAAAGGAAGGAACGCGCGTTTTGCTAATTCATCTAACGCGACGAATCGAGAGTTTTACCCTCCGGCACCCTCTGATCCTTATTCGTTATACAGGACCGTGTACGGTTAATGGCAATCGTTGGCTCGTGAAAACTTGTATCGACGTTTCGTCTAATCTACAGTTTTCTCTGTCGAGTAAAATCCTATGTACAGAAACGAGATAAAAACGCGTTCTTTCATCGTCCTGCGTCGTGACTCGTGGTTTCGGTTAAATGCCACCCTTTGTTGCTCTTCTGTCTCGGGGATTCCGTCGCAAACGAAGAGCAAGGGTCCTTTTCCTTCGAGCTTGAGCCGAGTTACAGAATTCCGGTACACCGAAGCGACGAAACGGCTATATCGTTTTACGTTTGTGCCGAGCCGTAAGTTCCCGCCGGTGGACGATACAGCTTCGGGAATGTCGGAATTTGTAAACTGTTGAACGCGTACTTGCGGATTCCGATGTTCTTCCATGTATTCTCTCGTCGACAGCCCTCGCTGCAATTGAAAACAATCTTCAATAATATGAAATAAAAAACTAACGTTTCATTGAAATAAAAATGATTCATCTGCCGAGTAGACAACTTATTATATGTAGTAATATATAAACTTATTATATATAATAATATATAAACTTATTATATAGTAATATATAAATTTATTATATATAGTAATATATAAACTTATTATATATAGTAATATAGTATACTATGTTATACATAGTAAATTTATCAAAGAAGAAAGAAGAAAAAATGATTAACCTTCGCATACAGTCGAGCGCTCTAGTGTATTCGTGTTCGGCCAAATGGTACTCGCTGCTCAAGATGTTCACCTGCTCGAGCGTAACCGACATTCCTGTACGATCCTTTGCGCTTTTACAGCTGGTAAACCTCAAGCCGCGCATCCTTCGACAAATTTGAGAGGACAATTGTAAAATTTCCACGTTTTTGTTTACCTTGGCCTGAACGCTCGCCTTTAGATCGGTCAACAGCTCCGCCAACGTTTGACCAAGCGGCGATCTCGCGCCGACTATAACGCCACCGAGAAAACCAAATACGAAAACAATGCAGCTGCTGAATGCGACTGTCGATACGCGAGCAACCATCTAGTGGGAATTAAGGGTGTTGAAAGCTTACGTCGAGTCGAAGCTGTTTCGCTAGGTAGATTGAGCTTCTTGAATCGTAAATAGTACTCGTTCAAACGTTCATAGTTATCCATGTTGCTCTTCTCCTGAGGTTTCGTCGTGCCGAGGCTCTCCGCCAGGGAAGCCATTTCGTTGATGCCCACGTTGAAGAAGACTGGAGTTACGTTGAAGGAAATTGTTTGTCTGGAAGACGGAACCAACGGTAGCAAGGAATATATCGCATCTGGCACTGGAAGCATCACTGTAAGACCAACTCGGGAACCAACCACTCGCGGCATGGGTTGCTGAAAGGGGACACCGCAGTTTCCTTCCAACCTGAAATGCAGTGCGATGTACTTTCATGTTCTACCTTAAACATCCTATTTGGTGCATTTGTTCATTTTGACTTAGGTCGCCTAACGTGCGACTCGTGCAATTGTATCGCTCACCTCTGCTCGATGCCGCACCTGGTTAACGCGAACGTTACCGTGTGCAGGTCCTCAATAGCGACTGTCATGTCTCCCCACATATCTATCTCGTCACCATAATAACTAAGTAGACCTTCAAACGAAGCCAGAGGACCAAGAGTGGTTAAAATTAAAAGAAACATCGGGTCCGGTCTCTGACACCACAGCTTCGCCATTATCCCGGACACCAAACTGGTCAGCTACGATGAAAATTGATTTTATAGGTAATTGATCGATGAAGAAAGAAGTATACAACTTACCGCCTGGCTGAAGCACACGTCTCGTCTGTATCGAACGTTGCAAGCTCTCTGAGCCATCTTTGAGTCCTCCTGCACTCTGAACACAGAGTGCGTCAGTCTGGCTGTCTTTAATAGTCCGTCCATCGCTTGGCGTAACTTTTTCATACTTGGCCTGAGTTCGCTCGTCCAGTCGACGATCGACGCGAAGTCTAAACCCTCGGTGAACTTGTTTCGTTGTCCTGAACTGTTGCTTTTGATCACTCTGGTCATTGAATCGACCGCTTGGCACACTTTAAAACGAATAACAAATTACATATTACAAATTTGCCTATCCTAGTAAATAAAATATGTTGCATCCAAGTTACCTTCTTTGGCTTTGGAGAAAGCCGGCATCGTCTCCGAGGCCGGACTAGGATACCGTCGCGAATTCGAACGGTCGTCAGCGTTTTCCAGCAGCTTGCTCGACTCGTCGTTCTTGGCATCGTTTTTCGGCTGAATCGTCACCACTTTGCTGTTCTTGTTCCGATTGGCCGGAATGCACTTCTTCATTCCGTGCGATCTTCCCACGCTGTTCTTGTTTCTCAAACGCACCGCAGGACTGCTGCATCTGCCGCAAAGGAACTTCACCTTCGACACCAAACACATCACGCTAGCCTCGATGTTCAACTGCGTCAGATCCCACGGTTCCGGTTCGTCGGTGGGTTTATAATAATTAGCAGAAGGCGAGTTGCACATCTTCTGAGTGTCCAGAAATCGTTTGCAAGGATCGACCTCGCCCTTCGTTCCTTCTCTCTCTTCAATGTCGTCGTCGTCGAGTCGAACGGCATCATTATCCGTCATGATTTCTTCCGCATTCTCGTCTCCGTTCTCGTTCCCGTTCTCCTTCTCGCAATTGTTCTCGTTGGCAGTCGCGTTCTTTGAACGCTTCGCGTCGCTTTCAATGTCGGTGTTCTCTTGCACCGCATCGTCGACGTTGTTCGAACTGACTCGCTCAGTGTTCGAACCGTTGCTCCTCGCGGGCAAGGTCGAGTAACCGTTCCTCTCGGATCCCTTCGTCCACAAATCTTGCACGCATTCGGGAGTATCGGGAGTAACGAAATCGTCCAGATCGGGACTCTTCAAGTCAAAGTTCAGTTGCTGAGTAATTCGTTTAAAAGGAGACAGAGATTGATTCGTTTTGAAGTCCAAATTGAGAGGATCGTCGATCGCGTTTCCGTCTTCCTCGGGGACCTTGGCGACCTTGTACTCTTCCAAAAACGTTAACGCTTCCTCGACCAAACCCGGGTCCCACAGGCTAAGCAAGATTCTGGTTTTAGCGATCATGTCCTCGCAAATCGGTAACATTCCACTGGTCTGTTTCGCCTTGGCGAGCTTCATCAGAGCACGCATCGCTTCCACCACGTCTCGTCGGAGCTGTTTGATCGCTTGGATGGCATCGTGGGCCATCGTTATCTTCGACGTTCCTTGATACAGCTGGTTGCCGCGCGTTGGCGATTCTTTGAGAGCCTGTAATAGTCTGAAACGATTTCCGCAAATGAACACATGAACGGTGTCGATAAGCAAGGTTTAGATTTAACTTTATACCTTATCAGACCTCCATTTTTACTTTTATGCGAGTGCGCAGTGAACGCTCCGACGGTGATACAGTCGTAAAATCCACATTTGTTCAGAGTATCATTGTGGACCCAAATTCTTTGGAGATGCAGGTTCAACGGTGCAAACTCGAGAGTTCTGTCGTTTTTGCGAGAGGATCGTTTGAAGTAACTCCCTGAGAATAAGGCAGGTGATAAAGTTAATAGTGACCGATGCAAAGTAGTATAAAAAGACAGTAACAATACGGTCCTAACTCGTTTACCTTTGAAGGCCGCCAAATTCTCTTTGGCCTGCGAGTAAAGATGCAAAAGATGAAGATGACGATCGAGTAGTTCGACTTGCTTGGTGTGCCAAGGTTCTCGCAGTTCGCCCATACCGGCCACTTCCTGTAGCAGTTCCTTTTCCTCTTGGATCCATATCGCGCTGCAAAAGATGGGAAGATAAGGCGTTTCCTTAATGGTCACTTGAACGGTGATTAGCAACAGCATACCCTAAAGTGTGGATGACAATACTCACAGTAAATGTTGCGGAAATTGGAAGGAAAGTTTGCTCTCTGCCATGATCTCATGGACGCAAATGTCACCGCCTAAACCGGAATGAAATCTAAAACCAAGAGAAGTGTAAGTTCTTCAGTGGAAGAAGTGCAAGTCGAGGGTAGTGTTCCATCAAATGCTATCATGTCGCTGTATGTACCTGTATGTCTGTATGTACGGATTGGCGAAGAGAAGCTTCAGTTGACCTTGATGTGGCAACTTGATCTTCGTCCCCAATCTAGGCGGCAACGATTGGGACCGTCTGTGCGAGAGTAACTAAAGAAAACAAAAACTCCAATGTATTCAAGACCACACTAAATCAAAAACGTTTGATGTTTCTTTCCCTGCACCTGTTGATTCGTTCCAGACGGAGGCTCCTTCGAAGGCGTACTTTCCGTACTATTTCCCCTATCCTCAGCCTCCAAATTCCACGCATTGATAGTCAAGAATCCAACAGTCGTCGTTTTCGCCGACTTTAAAGGTATCCTCAACCTAGAAGCGTTCGATCGCTAGTCAGAAACGCGCGATAACCGAAGAACGTCGGAACGGAAGCGGAAGCGACGCGACGAGGAAACGAGAGTCGCTGGAATTACCTGGGCGTGTCTTGAATCGCGTTCAGAGTCACGATAGCGCTTCCTATCGGGGTCGCGGTTTGACTCACTCGCTCCCTGACGTCGAAAGCGGTTATCCGCGTTTTCGTGTCGGTGGTCAGACCATCGCTCGCTCTGAAGCTGACGGTCGTCAAGAAACCGGGATTGCTGCTTCGCTACGGGAAACAGGAAACACAGAAATTAGAATCAATTCTAGATGGATACTGTGTTGATTCTGTATTTTAGTATCAAGCTTTAATCGGTTTGGAGAGGTTTCTATGTTGGTTTTGTACTGTTTCTACTTTGTTTCAGTATTGGTTTGGAATCATTAGAGTGAGGCTTCAGTATCGTTTCAGTATTGGTTTAGAGTCTACTAAAGTAACACTTCAATATCCTTCCAGTATTATTTCAACATTGTTTCAGCATTGTGTCAGCATCGTTTCAGTATCAATTTAAAGTCTATTAGAGTAACACTTCAATATCCTCCCAGTATTATTTCAACATAGTTTCAGCATTGTGTCAGCATCCTTTCGGTATCATATCAGCATAAATTTCAAATCAGCCCTGCATCATTTCTAAATGACTTCCAAACCAATTTAGAGCTACTCAGCTCACCTCCACCACCTCCGTCCGCGCATACTTGATCCACGTCTTGGAACCTTTAATTTGAACATCAACCTCCAGAACCGGATTAGGTGGTCGGCCATGACCGTCGCACAGTAGATTGTCGCAAGCCAACGATATCTCGCACATCGGTATTTCGGCGGGATCTGAAAACGGTTAAAAGAGAGAAAGCGTACGTAAGAAATAAGTAGTACGCCACGAGCAAACGAACAAACCTGTTGAAATGCCACGCTGCAATCGCAGCATTTGAATATCGGTGTCGTGTTTGTGACCGCTGAACGCTTCTATTCGTTGCTGCAACGCCAACAATTGACTTCTCATGCATTCGTAACTGGCCAGCTGAAGAGCCTGCAACCAACTGTCTCTCTCCTCCGCCGAGTTGGCGCCCAACGCTTGAAACAAGCCTCCGTCGAATACTGAAACAGTAAAAAATCGTGTCACTCGATTGACGCAGATCGACCGCGAGACGAGCTTACCTATGCTGAATCCGTACGGGACCTGATTGCTCGGTTGTTCTACTCGAACGAAACATTGTTCGAGTATTATCACTCCCAACGGCTCCGACCACTGCTCCCGCGATTTGAAATAAAACAACAGATTGCCCCGTAATCTGCACCATCTCTCCAAACTTACTATCCAACAGAGAAAAAACAACGTTTGCACGCGTTATTCCTTCAACGGCGTCGAGGTACCAAGCAAGCGTTATGAAAAGGGAACGTCGAAGTCACGTGATTAGTTCTTTCTTTACTTGCGATGAAAGCGAGAGAAAAGAAGGCAGGATATAGGCTTCCTCTGGCGAACAATCAATTTTACTTTGAGAGAATAAGATAGAAAAAATCTGTGTTTAAAAGATTGGAAGTTTAAAAAGTTTAAAGACTTACATTTCCAAATCTCTAAATTCGGAATTTTGTAAACTGTCATATTTTAGAGGTTGGAAATTAAAAAATTTGTTATCGTCCAGAGGAAGCCATCGCAACTATTAAAAAGCGTGCACTGAATAAAAACATCTACTTCAAGATTGTAAATCTAGAAAGCGAAGCACATTTACCACGATGCTTTTCTTCTTAGGTCGAAGGAAAAAGGAAACGCGTGATACGTGCGAACGAAGGTACAGTGACAGGTCGCGACAGGCTGACATGCGTCACGCGTATTCTACGAAGACAGAATTCGATGTCAGTAAGCTGTGACTAGCATGCGGTTAAATGCGATCTAAAATTTACGATCGGAAAAATCGAGTTTATCGAAGCAAGTTACTCGGACCTTGTTACGAAAAAGAAGTAAATGGTGAATAAGGCGAGACAGTAAGCAAGTTGACAAACGTGGAAATCGCGTTCGTCGAACGCGAAGCGTTTCTTCGACGTAACGTTCAGCGCGCGTCGAAGGAACAGCCGTCGAGGAAAAGATCGCGATTCGATCCAGTTGACGAGAATAAAAGCGTGTTAATTCGCGACAGACCGAGTTAAAAGACAGCGAAGGAAACGAATTCTGTGTGGAAACAAAAAAAATTCGAATATACCTTTACTCGTACTGGCTGTAACGCAACTGAAGTCTCGGAGTGTCTTATGCGTTTTTCCCTTTTGACATTTGCTGTCAGATTTTTTACCTGTACCTGCAAATTATACGTAGCTACGGGTAGCTTTTAACTTGCACCGAAATCTGAGCGCAATCGGACGTGGCTTTTTCTCGCGTGTCCGTGCTTCCAATTAAGATCACGATTACAATTACAACGTACACCATGTTAACGACTAGTTTACTCGTTTACGCCTACGTAAAATGTTCCGCTTCGAATCTCGAACGCGAACGTTGCGTCGCGATGTATACGCAGATCGTAAAAAGACGAACGCAAAAACGTCCTCTTTCGCGTTATTCTTCGTTCCGTGTAACGTTCGTTGCTCGCCTAATCGAATCGAGACCATGCACGCATCCGAACAGATGGGAACAGGCTGACAGAAATTCGACCGATCGTTACGAACATTCGAAGGCATGCTCTATTCGCGTTTACCGGATGCACCGCGATCTTTCAAACAGAAGAAACAAGGAAAAGTGTCTGACGATTCTACGATACATACTCGATAATATACGTATTATGCAAGCTACGACGAAAGTCTGAGCTGATACATATAAATGATTCAAATGTCACGTGTACAGAGTGTTCTTTACAACTGTTCAACATCCCGAATTCATAATGGTGGCGTGGGATTAACGGAAGACTTTCATTACGTGTAAAACGTACTTACGCCACGAATTTGCATTCACGAAAAAGGAAATTATGACACTTGCAGAATAGGGAAATAACGTAATAACATTCGGGATGTTTCGTAGATGTTTCGACACCCTATACGAGAAAGATTGACACGGGAACTCGACAAATTCTTCGTATTCGACGCGAACATAGTTGCACGTTTTGTTCACGTTCGACAACAAGATCTCGACGCTCGTCGATTCCTCGATATCGTTTGAAAAAATATCAAATTGAGCGGTAGCGGAGCTCGAACTGCGATCTCGATCTCGAACTCGATCTTCGACGATCGAAGACGCAGCGCCTCGTAAACCGGTGAACGCGGACGAGCGTCGAATTACGATGGAAGCGTTTCGAGTTTCATGAGAATCTATAAGTCGTCGTTGTCTGTCATCGTTTTCCTGTTCGTGTTTTGATGATGGGCTCTACATTAAACAAAAGACGAAGAATTTGCGTATCACGTGAGTTTATTGTCAAGGATCAGACATTTACAATTTAAATTTTAGACGAAGGAAAAACATGCGTCGGTCAGAGAGCGGTAAAATACATGTACGATCAATCGGTTAAAAAGTAGGCGAACAGTCTCGCGTAAACGAATCGTTTGTACATACATACATATGTATTTGCCAAGGTTTGAATCACTCACTCTCGGATCTGCGAAAGAAGCCTTCTTGTCGTTCGCGTACGTACAATATACCCTCTTTCTCGAATTTCTGCGAAGGTTGTGTAGCCAGGGTCAACAGTTCTTGCTTGTTGAATCGCATTTCGGAATTGTACTATCGGCGGTTACACCCACGTTCTTCGTGATCACGTACTTATTCTTCCTCTTATCTGCCAACAAGTAGCGGTTAGTAACACGCGCGTTAGGTTTTACCGCAATACAGTGTATTATTGACGAAACAGCCGATAAATCGGTAAACGACGAATACGTCTGTACAAGCGATTTCATCGAACGCGCCTGTCACGTTCAATCTACCAGATCTCTAACCTATTCCTTCTTCTTGTTCCATTCGCCTTGCGCTTTTTCACTCCCACCACCCACCACCCATCACCCACCTCTCGCCCCGACGTTTACACGCGCGCGCAAACATACCTTCTTTCTTTCTCTTTCTCGCGCGTTTCCCACTTTTCGTTCAATCGTATTTACCGCAATCGTACATTTTGGAAATGTCACCACCGAAGTAAGATAAAAATGATTGAAACTTTATAACTGAAACGAGAAGTTACGGAAAATTAAATCGACACATTCTATCACGCAGCAACGAACCTCCACGGCCGTAATATTCTCTGACGTTTTTTTAAACGGTCTTCCAAGCTTCCAAGCACTTTTTCTCCCCACGAGTTGTTCTATCGAACACATTTCGCGTTTCTGTTGTCATGATATAAAATCTTGCTATAAAAACGACTGACGTTGTTTCGATCGTGTCACGAAGACCGTGCCCGTGCGCTTTAGCCCTAAGCGAACAGGGAACGGGTACGAGTTAATCGCACGCCCGACTTAAACCCCGAAAAAATGATGAATACCGTATAAGAAAGACTGTCCATTAAACGATAAATTATCGTATACCATGTTTTATGTCGTACGACGGACGATATTTGACTAGATGTAAATCTACAGCGACGAAAGCAGCGGTCGTGGTCGTGAACGTCACTGTCACTTTGCATCGTCCGTCGTCGCCAGTCGGGTTTTTTCGTACGATTCCGAAAATTTCCGATTAGTACCGAGCACCACCGAATACTTCCGATGTACCACCACCGACAATAAATAGCAGACGCATAAACGTTACGTATTTTTCGTTATTGTTTCGATAATCGAACATGACGGCAATTAATTTTGAAAATTAAACTTTATCGATATTAATCGTTTACCGTCTAGGTCCATTCATTCCACTTGGATTATTCTTTTCAGCAGAACATTGTGTTTCCAATCACTGCAATTGGTCACACAATCGTATTTATGGTTCTCACTTTAATTGAAATAAAACACGAGTGTCCTGTATATTGTATATCAAATTGAGCGGTAAAGCATCATGGAATCGTTTCTGCTGGCATCAAAAACAATCCTGGTAAATACACACTTGTTCCTAAAGTTTTGTTTCAACGAAACATCGTGCTATATAGGTTCATATTTTACGTGCTACTTCGATTCATTCTTACCGCGGAATGTTTTGCAATTGAAAACCGATAAAGAGAAGAATGAACTAATAGGTCAGAGTAATTAATTTCTCATTTACATACAAACAACAAAACGTTCATTGACGTAGTTGACGGATGCGAATACATTATGCGGTGATCAAATATAACTGGGTTAGGTTAGGTAAAATAAGTTTAACAGATGGCGCCACATTACTGGCTACAGTGGTGCCATCTGTCGAAACGCGGGTCCTATTTGAACGAAACGTCAGAAATGGAAAGTGTCGAAAGCACGAAACATTTTCAAAGAAGAAAGATAAATTCTAATCTTGAATATCGTTGCAGTCAAACTTATCCGCATATCAAAAAATTCGTATCGTTCTGGGTAATGGAACCTGCGATTTGGATTCTGCCGTATCGGCCCTTGCCCAAGGGTTCTTCGAGTATCTAGATGCAATGAAAAATAGCTTGACAAATTTGGCGGTAATTCCTGTGATGAACATACCCGAAAGAGAATATCGCGTGAAAACAGAAGTAGTGTTTTTTCTTAAACAACACAATATACCTGCAAGGTTATTAACATTTCGGTGAGTAAAGCAGTGGTTCTCAACCTTTTCTTGCATTGCATAAAATATTTACGCGCCAAATTGTCTTTTGTGCACTATCAGTGACAGGGTTTACGAAAACATTTTCTCTGCAGGGATCAGATAGATTTGAAGGCTCTGAAGGAGAAGGACGGAATCGATTTGGAGATCGTGTTGGTCGATCACCATCATCTCACGGAAGAGGACACGTATTTAGCAGATTCCGTGGTCAAAGTAATCGATCATAGACCGCAGGACGCGAACTGGCCTTGGCCCGGTAGGATGGTGCGTTTGGAAAGCGTGGGCAGCTGCGCGACCCTAGTGGCGCGGAATTTAATCGACAAATACCCGGAAGCGATCGATACGCAATTGTCGAGTCTTTTACGAGGCAAATAATTTTCATTTAATTAAAGTTTCAGCGTGAAGTTACATAATTAATAACTATTTTTAAAATTGAAATTTAAATCGATATATTTGACAGGACCAATTCTTATCGACACTAGTAATTTTTCTAAGGAGGCTGATCGTGCAACTAGTGTCGATGTCGAAGTTGTACGTGACCTTGAAAGACTCGGGCAATTGGATTTGGACAAGAAGAAAGTATTCGACGAAATCGTCCAAGCAAAATCTGATATCAGTGAATTAACTGTCGATGATTTTTTGATTAGAGATTTGAAGGTCACTGCTGGTATACCGATCGTTGGATTACCCATACTGATAGGGGTAAAGTATAGTTTAATAAATTTTTACACTTAGATTTGTAAGGTTATACTTACAATATTTCTTACAATACTTATTAATATTTCTTAAATATGTACAGCATATTTATTCCTTAATGATCAATAAAAATCATTCTTTCGTATTTTAGAAGTATCTCGAAATGCCCGACGTGTTCGACGCAATGAAAAATTTTGCAAAGTCGCAGAACACTACGTTGCTCGTTCTGATAGGATTAGAGATTCGGTCTGAACAAATACACAGAGACATCGCTATTTTTTCTTTCTCCACCGATCCCTTAAGAGACGAGGTTAGTGAAAACATTGAAACTCATTCAATCAATTATCAAGATTATATTTTCTTCTACAGATAGTACAAGTTTTAACAACCACGAAACCGTCCCTCGAGCTGACATTGGTCAAAGAAATCAATCATGAGGATGGAAACTGCAACTTGCTCCTTTACTCCCAAGGAAATTTACGTCTTACGCGGAAGCAGATACTACCCCTCATTCGCGACACCGTAACCGCGGCGAGATCTCGATGTTAAAGAAAATACGAAGACAATTTAATTTGCAAAGACAAAGCATAGTTTATTCAGAAGCTTCAGGTACATATTATAGATAGAATTTATTTTTGGTTTCCCAATTTATTCTGTTATCATTCAAATCCTTTTTTCTTTATGAAGAATTCTTCTTTGTTAAACGTGTAAGGAAACATGATCCCACCCAAGTTAAGTTGAAATGAAGAAACGATGCGTTTAGAAAGCGTCAAACCCTAGCTAATTTATTGATATTAATCAAAGGTAGTAGTTTCACTGCAATCCTGTGTGCATGTAAACATGCATGTACTATGTGACCACCATAAGAGCTTTAAGAATTCATAGGAGCGTGATGTATGCGATTGCCATAACTAATTACCTCACACTGAAAATACAGGTGTAAAATAAGGAATACATTTTCTGCCCAGTCACGCGTTTTTCACTATCCTGTCAGGTCTCGAGCGAACAATATGTATGCGTGTATGTATAATCAGTATGAAAAGTGAACCCATCGATGTTTGCTGGACCGTCGCGTTGATTGCAAAGCGGAAAGGCGATTTTCCCCTTTCCGTGTCCCTTTTCTCCCATCGCTGTGCGCGTGCTCCCATCTTCGGGCAGGCTCACCACGGTCCGCCCGCTGATATCGGTGGACGTTGCCCGAATCCTGCCATCGCCGCGGAGTTCGTAGTTCGTATCGAGCTACGCCTCGAAGAACACGATCGTCTACTCGATTCAATGCGATTCTGGTACCGATCGAACGAGAAAGAACGAGGGGTGAAAAGACAAACGTGGCACGGTCGAACGCGGTGATTTCACTGATTCTTCAAAGTTAATCGAAATTAATAAGACTAAAACTGTTGCGGTCCTGTGCACCTTCATCTAACATACTCGTCAAATATGGTGATTCTTCCTTTTTCGAGATTTGTCGTGTTTACATTATGCGTAACAAATGGAAGACGTCGAATTTGAAAGGTAAGGATATCCCGTTTGAAAGTTAGCTGATCTCGATCTTGCGTTCCATATGCGATACCATTCGCTCGTTATTTAGAAGAATAGGTCTTAAGTTAGTAGCGAAAGGAACCGATCTTATCTGATTTACTCGACACGTAAAGAACTTGTGTAACGAACAGAAAATTGCGAGATCGAGTTAAAGTTGTTTTGCCCGTAATTTCATCTTCTTAAGAGCGAGAGAAGGGCGTGGATATGTCACAGTCATACAAGAGAGGGAGTGTTCGAGAAAGAAGAAACCGAAATAGTTGAATAGCTGGAAAATTCGGAGGAAAAAATGAACGGTCAGCTACCAGATTCGAGAACGGTGCGCGTTGAAGGGATGGACGAAGATGCAAGGTGGCTGGCACGGATCGAGCATGGTCACCCTCTTCCTTCCTACGGTTCGCTCGTATTGATCGTGCCTTACTTGTTGCACGCGTAGCCCACCTCGAATCCACGCGCATTCTCTGATTCTGGCCCTCCTCTTTGTCTTCATTTTCCGTCGGCAAATCTAATTAACGTGCGACCTGTAACCTGCGGACCGCAAACTGCGAGGCAGACACACGCGATCGGTAATGTTCAAAGATCACATTGACAAATTGTAGCAACTTTAATTGTGTAGCTACTTTAATTGTATTATGATACGAGTTAGTTCGTTGCAAGCTTTCGTTCGAGACTAAATAGGGACTCTCTGTACTCGTTTTCTGTTCGCCCACCATAAAATGAATCTAGATCAAAAATATGTCTGCGATTTAATCAAAGTGTATTCCTAATTTTACACGCGTGTAAGCATAAGTTATGGCAATCACGTCAGAGCAAAATAGAAGGAAAGTAGACCTCTGAATTTCATTCGAGACTAAATAGGGAGACACATTCTCTGTACTTGTTCTCTGTTTTCTGTTCGCCCACCACAAAATGCGTCCAGATAAAAAATACATTTGCCACTTAATCAAAGTATTTCTAATATTTCACGTGCATTGTAATCTTGAGTTATGGCAGTCACGTCAGAACAAAATACAAGGAAAGTAGACCTCCTCTGAATTCCTAAGGTAGCTGCATAATACACGCTACCTTTCTGAATCTATTAGCGCGAATTTGCTGTAAATGATTCATGTTAGCGTTGGTGTATGATAAATGTTAATCGCGTAGGACACGATTAGAAACAGGATATCCATTTTCACGATGTTCAGCCACGTGTCTGCGATGGAATAGAATACGAGAGAAGGCATTGATCGATCGAACAGCGTTTACGGTTTCAGAGATCGAACGATGATAGCCATCGACTGGACCTATCATGAATCGTAAACGATCGGAGAACGGCACGAGGAGCGGATATCAGGATGCGCCGCGCACTATCGGTCATTTCCTTTGGAATGATTCTCGTCGCAGCTTCCTCGCCCGGGGAACAACGTACGGCCAGAAACATTTTCGGTTCGTACGAGGATATTTGAGGAGAACGTTCAATGCTATGGGGATGAGGTTCACTGCGTTGGGGTTCATGTTTAGTTAATTTATAATTAATTGGAAACATGTAATTTGATTAGATTTTTATATTGTTGTTACTATAATGTTATGAAGCAATGAACATAATAATTGTTATATTTTAATGTTGAATATATATTGAATATAATAATTGTTATACTTTAATGTTGCATACATATTGAATATAATAATTGTTATACTTTAATGTTGCATACATATTGAATATAATAATTGTTATACTTTAATGTTGCATACATATTGAATATAATAATTGTTATACTTTAATGTTGCATACATATTGAATATAATAATTGTTATACTTTAATGTTGCATACATATTGAATATAATAATTGTTATACTTTAATGTTGCATACATATTGAATATAATAATTGTTATACTTTAATGTTGCATACATATTGAATATAATAATTGTTATACTTTAATGTTGCATACATATTGAATATAATAATTGTTATACTTTAATGTTGCATACATATTGAATATAATAATTGTTATACTTTAATGTTGCATACATATTGAATATAATAATTGTTATACTTTAATGTTGCATACATATTGAATATAATAATTGTTATACTTTAATGTTGCATACATATTGAATATAATAATTGTTATACTTTAATGTTGCATACATATTGAATATAATAATTGTTATACTTTAATGTTGCATACATATTGAATATAATAATTGTTATACTTTAATGTTGCATACATATTGAATATAATAATTGTTATACTTTAATGTTGCATACATATTGAATATAATAATTGTTATACTTTAATGTTGCATACATATTGAATATAATAATTGTTATACTTTAATGTTGCATACATATTGAATATAATAATTGTTATACTTTAATGTTGCATACATATTGAATATAATAATTGTTATACTTTAATGTTGCATACATATTGAATATAATAATTGTTATACTTTAATGTTGCATACATATTGAATATAATAATTGTTATACTTTAATGTTGCATACATATTGAATATAATAATTGTTATACTTTAATGTTGCATACATATTGAATATAATAATTGTTATACTTTAATGTTGCATACATATTGAATATAATAATTGTTATACTTTAATGTTGCATACATATTGAATATAATAATTGTTATACTTTAATGTTGCATACATATTGAATATAATAATTGTTATACTTTAATGTTGCATACATATTGAATATAATAATTGTTATACTTTAATGTTGCATACATATTGAATATAATAATTGTTATACTTTAATGTTGCATACATATTGAATATAATAATTGTTATACTTTAATGTTGCATACATATTGAATATAATAATTGTTATACTTTAATGTTGCATACATATTGAATATAATAATTGTTATACTTTAATGTTGCATACATATTGAATATAATAATTGTTATACTTTAATGTTGCATACATATTGAATATAATAATTGTTATACTTTAATGTTGCATACATATTGAATATAATAATTGTTATACTTTAATGTTGCATACATATTGAATATAATAATTGTTATACTTTAATGTTGCATACATATTGAATATAATAATTGTTATACTTTAATGTTGCATACATATTGAATATAATAATTGTTATACTTTAATGTTGCATACATATTGAATATAATAATTGTTATACTTTAATGTTGCATACATATTGAATATAATAATTGTTATACTTTAATGTTGCATACATATTGAATATAATAATTGTTATACTTTAATGTTGCATACATATTGAATATAATAATTGTTATACTTCAATGTTGCATACATATTGAATACAATAATTGTTATACTTTAATATTGAATATTATATTGAATATAATAATTGTTATGCTTCATCTGTCATGAACAGTACTTCAGCATGAAGTACATCATAAATTGATGTTACTGTTATGAACAAGACATTTAACAAGTTATATATAATTGTCATTTAACAAGTTATTTATTGTTATCATTTAACAAGTTATATATAATTGTCATTTAACAAGTTAATTATTGTTATCATTTAACAAGTTATTTAATGTTATTATTTAATAAGTTATATATTATTGTCATTTAACAAGTTAGTTATTGTTATCATTTAACAAGTTATATATAATTGTCATTCAACAAGTTATACATTAATTGTCATTTAACAAGTTATTTAATGTTATTATTTAACAAGTTATATATTATTGTCATTGAACAAGTTAGTTATTGTTATCATTTAACAAGTTATTTATTGTTACTATTTAACAAGTGATTTATTGTTACTATTCAACAAGTTATTAATTCTTATCATTTAACAAGTTACTTATGATTATCATTCAACAAGTTATTTATTATCATCATTTAACAAACTAATAACGAGTTACTTATCAACCTGGCATTGAACATATTACTAAAAAAAAAAGAATAAAAAGAATAAATATATCTATTCTTCCAGGGCAATGTATTCTCCCGCTCGGCATGGAGGAGGGAAAGATTCCGGATGACGCGATCACCGCATCCTCCAGTTACGAGACTAAATCGGTGGGCCCTCAAAACGCGAGGTACATTTCTCGAACACTGATGCGTGAGTTCTCGTATCTTGAATTGTCGCCGCCGTCGATCGATCGATCGATACCAAAGAGCCCCGATATCCGTTAAACCCATCTATTTACAGGATCCGACAGGAGAAAAACGGAGGCGCTTGGTGCCCAAAGGCTCAGATCAGCAGTGCGATAAGAGAGTACTTGGAAATTGATTTGACACGAAACCACTTGATCGCTTGGACCGAGACTCAAGGACGATTCGGAAATGGTCAAGGTCAAGAATACGCGGAGGCCTTTTTCCTGGAGTATTGGCGCGACTCGAAGTGGCATCAGTATAAGAACTTGAGGGGTGACAGAGTTCGTGTCTTCAAATTTAAGAGTTGTTTGCGTTACTTCCAATTTATCGTTCTATTCAAAGGTTTTTACTGTCGTCATTACTATTGTCTATTGTTCACTCGAACAGCTTGCGTGACTGTGCACTGTTTCTAACAAAAGATCCCCCACGTCTGTTTGCGATAATATGGACCAATATTTTTCTCGTATACAGTTCAAATGGAGAGGAAAATATATATTCTAGTTTTTTTAATAGTATACATTTTTTACATATGAACTCTCGAGATTAATGTATGTGACAATTCTATGATTGTAATGTACCTTCAAGGCCATGCAAGGATATAATTAACCTTATTGTGCTTTGAGTCTCACTCATGATGTACTCATAGCTCTAATGCTAAAAACTTTGCTCAAATTTCTAATACTCTTCAATATTAAATCTAACAATTATAATTTGTATATATAGTCAAGGATCACTGAATATAAAATACATTTTAGTTTTCTTTGTTTCAATAATAGAGCTGTGAATAGTTAATTGTGACTGACGCACAATCTCATGATTGTCATGTATCTTTAAGGTCATACAAGGATATAGTTAACCTTACTGTGATTTGAGTCTCACTCATGATGTACTCACAGCTCTAATGCAAAAAACTTTGCTCAAATTTTGAATACTCTTCAATGTAAAATCTAACATTTATAATTTGTGTGTATAGTCAAGGATCACTGAATATAAAATACATTTTAATTTTCCTTGCTTCAATATTATAACTATAAATAGTTTTAACTGACACATCTAACAAATAAATTGTACAGCAAGGTTTATGAAGACTTTTAAAAGTGCAAGCTTAAAAGAGCAAGTTTATAAAGACTTTTAAAAGTGCAAGCTTAAAAGAGCAAGCTTATGAAGACTTTTAAAAAAACCTCTTTTGATAAATTTTTGGAAGCAACGCGAGTCACCATTGAACCCCCATCAAAACAAAGAACGATATTTATCTAAACAAATATGTATCACAGGTGCTACGAGGCAACAGTAACACCTACTTAGTAGAGAAACAAAAACTGGATCTGCCGTTCGTGGCCAGCAGAGTGCGATTCGTGCCCTACAGCCTGCACCCGCGCACCGTTTGCATGAGAGTCGAGATCTACGGCTGCGTGTGGGAACGTGAGTGCACGATCCATGAATCTTTCAGATAAACGAGCGAAACTTTATCGATAATTTTTCCTGCAGAATACGTGACGAGATACAGCGCGCCGAAGGGATCGAACCTGGGTCCCGGGGGATGCAATATTCAAGATTCATCGTACGACGGCGTTGAACGAGATTCTCTTCTGGTGGATGGCCTAGGGCAGTTGACGGATGGAATTTTAGGAGAAGCTTCAGAGATTTTTGACTGTTCGATGAGTGGTACGAATTGGGTGGGTTGGTCCGAACGCGACAGTGTCGAACTGGTGTTTCAGTTTCAAGAGCCACGGGAATTTCATGATTGCTCTGTGCACGTCGCTCGTCTACCGGAAATGGAAGTCGAGGTATCTTTCTCCCTTGTTTTCAAGGTATAGCAAAATGATGACGCGAATTATCTGTATGTAACGATTGCACAATTATTTACAGCCGTTCTCAACGTTGAGAGTTTGGGTGTCTCCTGATGGCGAGAACTATCCGCCAGATCCAGAGAAGCTAGAGTTGACGTCGATCGACTCGAACTCGTCCACTGGTGGCACCGTTTTGGCGTCGATCTCCTTGCGATCCAAAATCGGGCGATTCGTGAAAATGGAATTCAGTCTGAGTCAGACGAAGTGGTTGCTCCTCAGCGAAGTTAATTTCCACACTGGTAAGACTTGGTAAAATTAACACTTTAACGACCGCTCACACAACATGTGTGTGATAGCCAGAACAACCGTTAACGACCGCTTTAAATTAATTCTTCAAAAATACTGCCTTTGGCGACGTTTGACTGCGTAGACACGCGGTCGTTATAGTGTTAATAAACCTGAGGAGTAAATTTTGAAGTGCTTCTTCTGTACAGCACCGGATGGTAAGAATCGGTCAAACGATTCCTACTCCATCGATCGCCCGTTTCGAAGCAATGAAAATCAGAGCGAATCACGGTCGAGGAAAACGGAGCTCGAGATATCGGGCTCCAACGAAACAGAGATCTTCGAGATACGAGAGGAGGACTTGGCACCAGACGCCTTCCCTGTTGGCACGTCGCAAACTTACATCGGCCTAGTCAGCGGCTCACTAACTGTCATCGTCCTCTTTCTGACTTGCATGACTTTCCTGATCAAGCAGCGGGGTCGTAATAAGGTGGCGCTGTTGCAAAAGCACACGGCCCTTCTCTGCGACTCGTCCACTCCTGGCATCGCGATCGCGCCGAAGGACGTTAAGCTTTCGAATGGTTTGTCGCTCGTTCGCAAACCGATTACTGTCCTCGGCTCCAACGATTCGCAGGATGCTCAGAATCCTCGTGATGTCGCTTTCAACGATCGCCGGCCTTCCACCGTTTATGAAACCACTCGTTATGATCCTTTCTCCCAGGACGACGTTCTCGTACCTGAGTCGAGCGCGAACGCTGTTGCGAACGAACGAACCGAATCCTGCTCTGGTTAGTTACTGATAGAATATTGTGGAACAGTTGTCTTTATTCCTGTTCTGTGATTTAACAGAGCTTTATTCCTATTCATGTCTGTTTATGTCTGTTCGTAGACTTCAATCGCAAATGCAGCTTCACGAGAAACAAAGCGGAATTCACGATGCCGACTGCGACGAGCTACCCGTCGAAAAATCCGTTCCACTTCCACTCTACGGGGAAAACTAATCAAAAAGTGCATGAAGGATATTACGCGGCAACGGATATTTTAACGGTAAGACGTCTGCGTGTGTACGTATTGATATCATTCTCATATGATACATTGTTACGATCTTTAGATAAAGAAACGAGAATCGACATCGTCAATCTCGAGTCCGTTTACATCACTCTGCATTCGCGAGAAGAGCGTGCGTCTACCGCGTACGATCGATCCGTGCGAGGTTCGCCGTGTTTCCAGGCACAGATTGAGGATCCTGGATAAGCTCGGAGAAGGGAACTTTGGTTTGGTAAGAGCGAGACTCCTGAGTGATTAAAAAATCTAATTACTTAAATATAATTAGAGGCCAATGATCACAGCAGTCGAGGCCCATATATAATCAATCAATCAATACAATTAGATAAAATTGTCGAATAGGTGCATCTGTGCGAAGCAAAAGGAATCGCGAGCGTAGACAGAGGAACCATTTTCGAAAATCGGCAGACCGTGATAGTCAGATCTCTGTGGCGAGGCGTCGTTGACTCTTTGAGGTAACTTGAAGTTTGATTATATAATATTTAGAAGAATTCTTTCTGACAAACGATGTGATCTTAATAGGTTAGACTTTACGAAAGACATGCGGATCTTAGCGACGTTACGACATACGAACGTGGCGAAGATGATAGCGCTGGTGGAAGAGGAACCCTTCGGGGCAGTATTCGAGTACGGTCAATTCGGAGATCTCCACAGCTTTCTACGGTGTCGCGATAGTGAAGTCGGTAACGAAAACGATCTCAGGTAAAATTTTGTCAAGCAAATTTAGGTAACTATATCACTATCGGTGATCTCGAACATGTACAACATTTACGTCTATTCTTAGTTACGGCGATCGCTTGAGTTTCATTATCCAGATCGCATCCGGTATGAAGTACTTAGAGTCCTTGAACATCCCGCACTGCGACTTAGCGGCAAGGTAACCTCAATAGAATTGAGTTGATCTAGATGAGTTTAATTCAAGCGAGTTTCATTTTCAGGAATTGCATCGTTTCTCAAAATCTAACGATAAAGGTGTCCGATCACGCAATGTTCTGCACCAAATACAATCATCAGTATTTCGTGGATGGGAGCAACGCGAAAATTCCTCTTCGTTGGATGGCCTGGGAGGCGGTTTTGCTGGTAAGTGAACTTACAATAAATATCTCTTACGATCCACTCTTATACGCTTTCTCTTCTCTTCAGAACAAGCGTAGCTGTCGAGCGGATGTCTGGTCGTTCGCCGTGACAGTCTGGGAGATTTGCATGGACTGCAAAGAGACCCCGTACGCGGAATTAACCTCGGAACAGGTATTGGAGAACTGCGGTCGCTGGTATCAAAGCGAATCGCGTACCAGCAGAGGAAGCAGCGAGGATGTATGCGACGGGGAAGATAATCGTATCAAGAAAGAAGAAAATCGGCCTCGAGTTCTTTCGCGACCTCCGCATTGTTCGGACGATCTCTACCGCGTAATGAACAAATGTTGGAGCAAGCGATCCGAGAACAGACCCAGCTTCGAGGAAATTTATCTCTACCTTGAGAGATTAGCCCTTGATTGAACGCTGAAAATACTCATGGTCGAGTAGCACGGACCAAATCTATTACAATCAGCTAAGAAGCATCCTGTGCGTAAAATTCGTTTTCATCGTTCTACGCTCATTCGTCTCGTTTTCCTGCTAACCGCCTCGTTCGTTTCGCGACGATCGACTCCAGGATGCTCTCTGGCCATTAACTCGTAATGCTCAATTAGGTTTATACTCGAATCAATTTTTACGCGTTAGAAGTACGATATAAATTTGTGCGCGCGCCTGCACTCGATCGCCCTCTACGTAACAGAGAGGCGCGCGCGAAACCAAAGTTTAGAAAAGTATTCTATTCTGTTCGGACAACCAGATTAATTACGGCGGTCGGTGCAATCAAAATCTGTCGGAATTGTTTTTACTTCGGGACTGTCGTTTACTTTACAGCTATCGTAACGTGTTTTGCGAGCTTCCTCTTCGTCCTTGATCAGTGAGTAGAATACGCTTCTAAAGTTTGGCCATCCTTTCCTGCGTGTAATTCGTACAAGCGCATACGAAGTCGCACGCATACACGTTACCTAAAACGTAGGTTTATCGCGATCGCGAAACGCAGTTTCTTTTTATAAAAGATCGTATTCTCGTACTCTCGTATTCTCATATTCTCGTATTCTTGTCTTCTCGTCTATCGTTTAACGATTATCCGAACGAAGGGATTCGCTCGTCGAAGAACGATAACGTCGTTGATCGACGATCGGCTGCGTTTATATTTTGTGGGATTGGAATTCAACGCGCGATCACGGTTATTCGGATGCGAGTATCGTCGACGCGGAAATTAAAAAGAAAGGGAATCGTCCGGTAGAATTTTCGTTAACGACGATCAATCATTCGACGATACTCGCTCTAATTTAGAATGTACGACGCGTTAGTTAAATAAGATTTATCCTGGTATCATTGCGAGTACTTACCATGCAACGAAGAAATTACGCGGCTCCGTGCAAACCTAGGAGTTTTTCCGCTACGTTCTAATGTTTCGACTAACAGTAAGCATTCGTTTTCATCGAAATATACGCTATATTTGTAACTAAGCGTTAGCCGATAAGTTTGCGCGCGTTACTACTAACAAAACGGGACAATCACGCGATTTCACGAACGTTGTTTCGTAAAGGACGCGGTACGCGGTACGCGTTATCCGAAGGAATAATTATCGATCGATTTGCCAAACGCTCGTGCCAAAGCGGTCGTATTCGCCAAACATTCCTAACATTGTACGGGTAGTATCCTACCGCGAGACGCGCCACGTTTGGTCTTCACGATTTACACGTTTGCGCTCGCGTGCAAATCGATCGCGTTCGCCGTTGGTATCGCGCGTACCTTTCCATCGAACAATTTTTCTAGATAACTGCGGTTGCGGTTCATCGAAATTTGTAATACGAATCATACGTATCTCAGTAAAAATTATATTCTTCATATTTCCAACGTTACGGTGAATAAAAATTGTTATATACTATCTAGCTAGTTATTCTTTATACAATAGGTATTTATACTATCTAGCTAGTTATTCTTTATACAATAGATAATTATACTATTATAATAACTACCTATATCTAGGTAGTTATTCTTTATACAATAGGTAGCTATATTATCTATCTACACTCTTCTCGAAGAAAAGAGAAGACGTTCAACGAGGTTCAAAAAACATCACTTCATATTATTCATTGGTATAAGGGGTTCGATGTTCATTTCTCGATGGAACTCTTCGAGAGGCTGCTCCCAACGTTCCTCGTAGTAAACTCCCAGCAGAAAGTTTGCTCGCGTACCAGTTCTAATGGCCCACGGTAGATGATGCTCGAGGTACATTTTTCTTTGTCTGAAAGCGGAACCACGTTGATCTGAGTCGTCGAGGGTATTCGAAGGAAAGGAATTTACCTTGGACGTAATCTGTACGCTCCGAATATTGCTCCGCTTAAACACATCGGCAAACGTAATTGCAACGCTTCTATCCACTTCACGGCTACCTCTCCGAGCATCGTAGTAGGCATTAAAAGCACGGCGTGAAAGATATCGTGCGTTTCCCTGTACCGTTGCATCACGTACGCCAATTCCATATCCTCTACGAACCTAACAGGGGGTCTAGAATCGGGGGACACGTTCTGCAAAACGTTCGTTTCGAAACCGATGAGAAAAAGTATTTTATTTGAGACGGGACACATTCTTTCGCACATTCGCACTAATCGTAGCGTCCATCAATTAATTGTATGGGTACAAGGGTGTATCTTCATTAGCAACAATTTTTGTAATTTAAGAATGTATAATATGTGTGTGTCCTTCATGTCGAATGATGTGACAATTTTATCCAGTCGATTATTCTGTCGTAACTGACGCTTTTATCTCCAGTGATATATAACGCATTTAAATTTGGCGGGTAACGCGAACGTTTGAATATAGTTGCACTTGATTCACTCAATGTCCCCATTTTGACTGCTACGTAACGTCAGATTCCGCACTAAGCAGGATGACTTTGTATATACGCATAATTTTGCATATACGTATAATTCACACTTTCCGCGTGTATAGCACTACACCACTATTTCAGATAACGTGTCCGATAGTGACTGCGCATGCGCGAAGAATTTCGTCCCATCTCAACACTGTACTAGATCAACGAAAAGGACGTGTCGGTACATCGCTCGAAAATAGAAAGATCGGAATCTTACGTTAACGTCCAAGAAATCGCGATAAGTCCTGCCGACGGTCCCCGGTGGTAAATCTCTTAGGGCGGACAGATCGACTGTCGAGGAGGAAATGCGTGGTTTTTCTTGTAAGATGCGTTGTCCCTCGGCGGTCGCGAGCATTCGCCGAAGGCAATAGTTAAGAGCATCGGTGCCGGTCGTCTCTCCTAGACACGCGATCATGTCGCCGCGAAAAGGATTAGTGAAAGATATAGCGGCTGCACCGGCTGTCAAGATCGCGCGCTGTATCGGCGACAGGGAAACGCGACGCTCCGCGTAATCCTTCGCGAACGACGCGTCGCCGAAGCATCTTCGGCCCGACCGCAGGCTGCCTGTAACCAACCGAGGACAATAACGATCGATCGTTTCTTTTCTTCGTAAATAACATTTATTTTTTCGAGAATTCTTTCTTATGTACACGTTACTTCAGTGATATTGTACCTTTCAAAAATCTATCTATGTATGCGTATGTATGTACAAGTTTTATTACAGGAAACGTCGCGGTCAACGCTGTCCGTTCAACGAACACGCTATGGCACTATTGTATACCGTGTACGCGTTCTGTCCGGTAACGAGAGATTCGTTTGCTTTGGTACGATGTCGCTTGTCGTCGCTGTCATACTCGTTCGTTTCTTTCTTCCGCTCGGATCTCCCGTTTCCCTTCCGAGGCTGTGAACGTGACCGTGACCAAGAAAATCGGACGGAAAAATGACCGAATCGGAAAGAAAACGATCGGCACGGCGCGGCGGAATGAAACGAGTCGATGAATCGATCATACGGCTTCGATTTTTGACGCTTGATCTTCGATAAGCGGAGAATACTTTGGTTCGATGGGCTCTCTTCTGCGAAACGTCACCCATGTGTATACCAAACTACCGACTACGCTCAAATTCAATCCTATGAAATTTAACCAGGTAAAGATATAATCACCGCCGATAACCATTCCGAGATATGTGACGCAAATGTTTTTCAAACATCCGATTATAGTTGTAGTCAATGCAGAGTTGTAAAGCGTACAAAGAATCATACTGTAGGACAGCACGAATCCCATCACGCAAGAAAGTCCAAATTGCACGAGGAAGAAAACGTCGTACCAATAGGGAAATTCCAGGGCGGAACGCGCGTCTCCCATCCAACACGAAATCGCGATCGCTGGCACGACCATGAACAACGAATTATAGTACATCAATCCGTATTTTCCCAGTTCCTTCTTGTCCAGTTTCTTCTTCATGTAGACACCGTTAACGGCGGTGAAGAAGTCGTTCAACAGGATAAACACGTACCCCTTCAAATTGAACGCGAGATCGTTCAGCGCCGCCACCATTGCCCCAATGATCATCGTATAGACGCTCAGCTGAACGGAAACGCGCGCCTTTGCTCCGAGAACGTAATATTCGGCGATCATCGTCATCAGAATACTGAATCGTCTGAGAGCCGTGAACATCGGAAGACTCAGTTGCTTGGTACCGCCTAATCCAAAGATCATGTTACCGATAAAGATGACCGGTAACGGCCATATCTTCGCGAACGTTGTCACTTCTAGGTTAGGAAACTCGACGTAACGTAACTTCTTCGCAACGAACAGCAATAGGATAGTAGACAACATTTGTCCTATACCAAGTATTTGAAACGACGGGAATTCGAATGACGTCAACACCGTCTTATTTACAACCGTGATCATAAACGACGATAATCCGTAAAATACAGCTGATCCGACAGCTGCAAACATTGTATTTGGCTGATTCAGCGTCATACCGATATGTATTTCCTTCCGATTCTTCGGTTACGTTCTTTTATTCTGAGTAATATTTCCTCTGTAATACCAACGATACCCTCATTAAAACGAAAAGCCATTAAGCATCATGGAACGTACACTGATATAACCTTATCATTCTTCTTTCCGTTCTGATCCGGCCGGCCTGTCCTGTTTCGTTTTTCCTCTTCAAGCGTACACGATCCTTCGACTAATTCTTGATCACGGTACACGAACGGTCTAACAACTTTTGACATCCATCGAAATCATTCAGGTTATTTTCCCGAGAATAAATTTCTTCTCTGTAGGATCCTTATTCGATAACCTTCACGAATTTTGTCAACGTGTTTTCCTCACTTCCCTTGCCTCCTATTCTTCGCGCTATCGCCTTCGTTTATACGCACGCGTGCGTAAACATAGTAAAAACTGCGGTTCATTTTTGAACTTCTCATGCGTATCTCGTTATATTTACATAACTCACAACTGCGTTAATAAACACTTTACATCTGTATTTGCATAGATGTGAGTCTTATAAACTTCGTTTTTCAATCGTTTCTCACTAATCGATTTTAAATTTTATCGTTTTCCGTCAGTAATGAACACAGTGGTCGAGTCGAATCGAATGAACTGAAGTCGAATCGAATCGAATCGAAGTACGGTCACACATGAATATTTTGTATTTAAAATATGATTACAACTTTTCTTGATCTTTTATCTATGCATATCTAATATAGTGCGTAGTTAAATAATATTGTACATTAAATTACAAGCGTATCCATTTTATTTTCGAGTTTTCTTTTCATAACCAAGAGTAACGCGCATGCGCATTATGAATGTAGTGATAAATGTTTATATATACTTAGTGATCTTTTATTTCAGTAGACATGTTCAATTGGAACGACTACATTATTGCTTCTTCTCGTACTATTGTATTTTTGTTCGCCGTATATATAACGACGAAGTAAGAAACATGGTGATAAGTTGGTACCATAATAGAGAGTGTTCTGAACTGAGCCGAGATGCGCAAAAAATTATACTCTCCCTCGTGACCATTTATAAAGCTTCTCATTCGTCCTAATCATGCGTTGATATTTTTAGGTGAACTTTGAAATATATTTTACATCGTTTCCATTCCCGGTTAGGGATTTCAACGAATGATGGGGATTTCGAATTAGCTAAGGTGAACAACAGTACAGAGGGACATCGATGTACGATATAGTAAGGTTGTTTAAATTTTCGGCGGAATGGGCGTTTCTTTCAACTTTTATTATGTAACAATAAATAAAAGTTATAAAACAAGTACAACTGTCACGATGTAAGTTGCAGTAGGTTTCGTTTCTATGAATCTTAGAAATATCAATGTAACCTTTCGCTATCGATTTCTAACCTCCTAAAAAGTATATTGGCACCTTTCTTTCAGGTACAGAAAATGAACCGGTGATCATTGTACAACATATTTTTATCATGGTATTTGTTCTCTGCTCGATCAGAATTTCCAGAAACATCTGCCTGTCGTCGTTAAAATTATCGACTGTCAAAGTACGCACGTTGCTATTTTCGAAGTAGTCGCAAATGTTGAAGTCGACATTAATGGTATCTAAATCTGGTTATAGCACTCCACTAATGCCACGTCAACCGCACATAAATTGTCTGCTACCCAGACGCAGCAAAAAATTATACCAGACACAAAAAGTTTACGAGGTCGGACAGCTTCAGTGAATTTAATTGATTCTGTCCATCCGAAAGCTGCTACACGCGTCAGCGATGGGGTTGGAAAAGAGGCGCGTTCGAAAGAGGAACAAGAATGGCGATACCTGGAGTTGGATTCTAGCAAACTACAAAAGCATTGCTTCATGCTGTCTAAGATAAGATTGACGTGTAAGTTTACTCATGATTATGTTAAATATAGGACTCTAGATTATTGGGATTATTTTCAGCCTTGGTAGTGATAACGACAATGGGAGGCTATGCAATAGCCCCTGGAGCTTTTGATATTTCAACATTTCTCGCATGCTCTGTTGGAACTGGTTTAGTTTCTGCGACAGCAAATGCTATTAACCAGTTTTTTGAGGTTCCTTTTGATGCCCAAATGTCAAGAACAAAAAACAGAGTTCTAGTCAGAGGTCACTTGACGTATGTGCAGTATAATTGTTCAACATTAAAAATGATATAATGCCAATATGTCATTTACAATTAAATTTTTTCACTAGTCCAGGTCATGCCATAATTTTTGCTACTGTATCAGGTGTCAGTGGACTGTTATTGTTGTATAGCCAAGTTAACGGACTAACAGCCGCGTTGGGCGCAGCTAATTTGATTCTTTACACCCTTGTATATACTCCAATGAAACGAATTAGTATTTTAAATACGTGGGTGGGTTCTGTAGGTAAGCATACCGTTCGTGCGAACGTCTTTAACGATACTAATTCAAATTTCTTTTAATTGTTCAGTTGGAGCCATACCACCGTTAATGGGATGGGCTGCATGCGTCGGTGACGTGATGTCACCTGGTGCTTGGATAATGTCGGGATTGTTATACGCATGGCAGTTCCCACATTTCAATGCTCTGTCATGGAATTTGAGACCGGATTATTCGCGTGCTGGTTACAGAATGATGGCGGTTACGAATCCAAAGCTTTGTCGAGATACAGCTTTACGTTATACCGGCATACTAACAGGTCTTTGCTACTTGGCACCCGCGTTAGACGTAACGAATTGGTGGTTTGCCGCCGCATCGACGCCGCTCAACGTATATTTTCTGTACCTCGGTACGTCGATAAAAACGTGTATCCCTCAATTATCCGAAATCAATCATCAACGAATACTTTCTTTTATAGCTTGGAAGTTTCACCAACATTCGGACAGCGGAACTTCGCGCAAACTGTTCCGTTTCTCATTGATTCATCTACCTTTGCTGATGGTTTTTATGCTTCTAAGTAAGAAACATTGGTACGGTGACAAGAAAGAGACAGGCTCAGTACTTCAGGAGGAAAAAGAGAACAATGTTCATAGAATATTATACAAATTGATCACGCCGTCTTCAACCTCGTAACGATGGTGATTGGCTTTAGAGAAATTATAAACGATCGTTACGTACAAGTTACCATCGGTGTACGCAAAGAAAAGTTTGCGACAAAACTTACATTTTGTAGCATAAATTTGTAAATAGTAATAATGATTAGGTACGGTCGTTATACGTTGTTGTTAAATGATTATGCCAAAGTTACCAATTATTCACGAATAACCAATATATTTGATACAATTGCCACCAATTTATACAGTATACCGGAGAAAAGAAACTTGTAAAACAGAAATATTGCACGGATTCGTAAACGGGTGCGAAACGATGTAATTTACATCCATATTTTTCACTCGACTCCATAAAGTTCCGTCATGTTCGACTTTCGTGAATATACGAAGACGACGCGTACACGATCGTTCAGTTTTTATTTATAATTTAGGATTTAGAATATCGTACAACGTCATATCGTATCATCGATAGTTTTTCGTTTCGCAGCGAATTCTATCGCCATTTGTCTTCTAGTTTTGGTTAAGTTTCTGTGTCCGACGCAATCCAGGTTTTCCGTGAAACACTTATTTCTACAGCACTGACGGCACAATTTATGAACGCATTTCAGACCCTTCAAAGAATAAACAGAAAAGTGGAATTAAAAGATTTTAACACATGAAAGTTTTAAAGAAAAAGGGAAGAATAAACTCGTACCACTGGATTCGGACAATCACGACACAATTCGGATCCTCTTTTCACAACAACAGTCGGTCTGTTGGGACGTCGCGCTATCCGTCTGAGCTTCTTTAAACGTTTCCGCGATATCTCGTTTCCTTCGTCGTCCTTGAATTTCCTTTTAACCGTTTCTTCCCGTTGCTGACCGTACAAAAAACAGAAGAACGGTTAGATGATAGTGGAATTATTTTTTTATCAGACAGGGACACTAACCGCTTCAAGTTTCTCCGTTTCCAACCTCTGTACACGCTCTTCCGGGGGATGACGCACGTAAGGTTGACATAGCCACGGAGGTAGTTTCAAGTTATATTCTAGAACGTAGAATAACGTGAACATGTTGGCGTTCAAAAAATGATATAGTAACGGAATGTTGATATAGAAAGATGGTAGAAGGGAAGCATGCAGCTGATGGAGGGAGAGAAGGAATTCTATTCTTCGAATTAATTGTAAAATGACAGTGAAGATGAGTGATGGAAACATGATAGTACTATTAGACCGACCGGGTGTCTCTTCTTGCCACGTTAGTCGTCCTTCGTGGTAGGGCAGATACCGGTTCCTCAGGGCATACACGACGCTTTTAAAGGATTCCATGGTAGAGTTCCTGGCCAAATTTTCTCTTTCTTCTTTATTTTCTGCTAAACAAAGTCTACTCTCTAGTTAAAAGAACGCTGAACGCATAAATCGATTTATATTGTAATTAATGATACGACTTTTACCCGAACATCAACACGGAAATAAAAATCTTTTAACAATAAAATTCATTACGAAAACTGGTACGTACGTGTGTTGGAACAATTTGAAGAGGTGCCCACGAACGTAAGAGGGTGGGGCTGGATAACGTTCCACCAAATCTAAGTATTCCAACGCTGGTTCCCAACTAGGTGGATAACGAGCTTCGAATATGAATGGATTGTAAAGATTGCCTTCCGCCGACATCACACCGTGAACGCCGGTTTCCTCCAAGCACTTCTCCACGTCTTGCAGACACTGTATATTGCCGTTAGCAAATACTGGAATCGTAACGGCCTGCCTAAACGTTCGAAAGACAAAGTAAACGAGAAGCGATGCGAGGAAAGAAGCTGGGAAGGAACGAAGAAAGGGGTGGAAAGAAAGATTCGAGCAATACCTGACGGCTTTGATGTGCTCCCAAGATGCCATACCGGTCTGTGGACCTTTCTGCTCTCTCGTACGTCCGTGGACGGTAAGCAATCGTGCTCCGGCACTCTCGAGCATTCGAGCGTATTCTACCGTCTTGTCAATTTCTGCGAATACTCGTAGCTTGCAAGTTACAGGTATGTGGAGGCCCTTGCTCAAGGTACTTACTGAAACAACGAAGGCACAGTTAGTGACACGTGACATTGGTTGATGATGTGTCAATATAGTAGGACGACTAGCAGAAAGGCTTCTCTTCATCAATGTGAAGGATCCTTATTAATTCTGTTATCGAAGAGTTAACAGATACTTGTATTTTTTTGACAGCTTCAAGTTTTGAAACTTCCTCTAAAATGTTGGTAACATTTTTTCTAAATAACTCATTTATAATTTTAACACTACAATTAACTGTAATGTGTTGGAGTCTCAAACTAATCACTTGTACAAGTTTGCAGCAGTTGCATTTATATACTCCCTCATCATTAGACTGGGGAATCCTAATGAACTTGATATAGTCTCAAAGAGTTAGTCTCATGCAGTTTCATTTGGAGATTCATCTGTGAGTAAAACTTTGTCGTCCCAACGCAACACATGATTACCGATTCGTCGAAGCAGATCCCAGTCGTCTTGAAGGAAAGCGCCGTAGCGTCCTCGTTTCGCTATCGCTTGAGGACATCCGATATTTATATCGACCGCGTCGCAGTAGGGCTCCGCCAAAAGCGCCGCCTCCAGTATCGTGTTCGGATCGTTCCCGCAAAACTGTGAAACCAAAACGAATCAGTGAAAAAAGTCATACGTAAACAACAAAAAAAAAGATAAGTCTAATGTTTGTTTACCTGAACGATCAACGGCCGGTCTTCGGCCGTGCTGGCCAGAGCTTCCCGTCGGTATTTCGGATCTCTGCAGAAAACCGAAGAGTGAAGCATCGGGGTGTAACAAAGATGGGCGCCGTGACGACGACTCAACAGCCTCCAGGCTAATTCGCTCGCGTCGACCATAGGCGCGACGATGTATCTCGGAGAACCCAACTCCTCCCAAACGTTGCCCGCTTCCACTCCGGAGTTGGCCGGTTGGTCGGACGGTTTCGCTGCAACCGAGGACATCTACGGAAACGGTATTGATTACTACAAAACGCATAATTTACCTCCTTGTGGAGAACCGTTTTCTTTATTTTTTGAAGTAATCTGAAGGCACTTCCTGTTAGTCCAAATCGAGTTATTCGAAAATTCGATAATTTTAGGTAACGAAGGCGCGATCCCGATGTTTTGCGAAAGCAGCATGGCGAACGTGGGACAAACGAGGCAAATGCGGTAAAAAAAGAAAACGAGAATAATTCGGGAAAGATGGATCTCAAATTCCCGGCGAAGACGGAACGAACCGGTCGATTCGCGAAGAAGAGGAAGAACGCGTGGAGCGAGCAGAAGCGGGAGAGAGAGGGGAGGAGCAGGAGGATCGGGGGGTAACTGATTTCGAGAATTCCGATTCTAAGATGGGAGACAGTCTGACGGATTGCGTAACGCGCGAATTGAGTTTCAACTTCGGTCTCTTTCGGAAGGAGAAGGTTCGACGAGGTCGCACGTAAGACGATCCGATGGTTCTCCTCGTTGCCGAGACGATTGTTTTTTGCTCGAGCTGACTGGAGATCGACTGATCGTTCGAGTAACGCAACGGGGGCAATCTAGTCGGTGGACGAGGCATTGATATCGCTTCCACGGAATCGTTCCGAGGAACATTGCTCTCGAGATTCATCTTGATCTCCGTTCGACGTTGACTCTCGAGTCTAGTCCCGCTGCTCTCTTTCGTGGCGCAGACACTGGAGGACGAGGAACGTCGTCGTCGTCGTCGGCGGCGATCCCTTTTTAAATACGAGCGAAGAAATTTTCCTATTCGTTCAACAGTTTCGCAGGAGGTGTTGGATACTCGTAAGGAGTCGAGCGAGTCAACTCTTTCGTCGGTAGACCGTTTCTTCGGTTCGCTCCTCTTGTTACCGATCGAGCGACAATGCACGGCTATCGAATTGGCTGCAGCGAAACAGCAGGAGACCGGCGAAGGGGACGAGGAGCCTGCACCGGTGCCTACGGAGTCACTAAACGGTGCTGCTCCTTCTTGGGAACCGTCGTTCGTTCGGGAGTCTATCCGCTGCGTCGACAGGCACAGTCGAAAGTTTCTCTTCTGGTCCCGTCGAGCGATTGTTCCATCACGATTCGATTCACCCTCGACGTCGATCTGTCTGTTTGTAGCGTTCGAGTCTTCGGCTCGAAACGGGGAAACGAACGAGCGGCGGCCGGATACGAGTCGACGAATGTCGCGTCGAATGGTCTTCGAATCGGTAACGTCGAGATCAGCTCGGTTGGTAACGCCGAGACCAGTCCGATCGGTAAGCTCAGCGGATCGTAAAGCGGTCGAGCGAGCTGCGACCACCGCGTCGACGGTTTGAGTGGCGATCGCTGTTGCGATCACGGTGGCGGTTGCTGTGGCTGTTGCTGTAGCGGTGGCGGTGGCCGTAGCTGTTGCTGTAGCTGTGGCTGTGACAGTTGCTGTAGCTGTGACGGTCGCAGTGGCGGCAGCTGCGG